ATATTTTGTTAATTTTTTTTATACATTATATTTGTTTTTTTGACAGTGAAGCAGATTCGTTTTAAATTCCCAGCCAAGTACTTTGCGTAATCAGTTTAGCCTCGTAAATATGACTTAAATTTATCTTAAACACTTCGCTGACAGAAAAAGTTCATAAAAGTTTCTTTGGACTGTCAGTTAAATAGTTGTTTACTTTTCGTAACCCCTTTTTTTTTACTTATGTTTTTATTTTTGGGTTTTGGCTCCCAACTGAGACATTGGGAGTGCAGCTGGCAGACCTCCCGAAAACATTGCCCTAATGAATTTACGATCTGTCGTGGCCAGTTCTCAGCCAATTGCTTTTCGGCTTTTCGACTTTCCGGCTCTTCGGAGCGTTCTCCATTTGGCCATTTGAGGTCTTCATCGCCGGCGAAACGATTGTGGCTCCAAGTTGGCCAACCAAGTTGGTAAGTTTGCTGGTTGCACGGTGCATGTCAGTGGGTTGGTTTGAGGCCAACTGCTACTTACTGCAAGACTGGCCATAATATGTAATTTCAATGATTTGCATACAAAACACTTTTCACCAAACCCAAATGAAAGAGCCAGAACCATTCCGCAATCCAGTGCTGCTCGATGGAGCTCCATGGAGCTCCACTCCAGAATCCAGAGCTCTCTGGCTCTGGAGCTGCAAAATGCGGCAGAAGCCGTGGAATTGGCATGGACAAACAAACACGTTAAATACTTCCGCGTTCGCGGTGCTCCGATGTGGATTGGCTGGCCTGGCCTGGCTAACTTGGGGATGAGGCTGTGCAGATGGAGATGCCATGGTTGTCGTACGAATGGCCATGGAAATGGGGATGTCGATGTGGATGTGGATGTGGATGTGGTTACCCGTGACTCTGCTCCTCATCTCCTCCGCTTGCCCACTCCCTGCTCTCAAAAAATATTCATATTTGTCACGAAGCCAAATACCCAAACAAGTTACACCTAAAGAAAACGCACAACCAATATCCATAACAATATATCTCTAATGGCAATGACACAAATCTATTTGGGAAACCAGAAGTTCTGCTTAATTGGACAGTGGATAAGGTGGTGGTACCTTAACGCAATATGCAGGTGGTTAAGAAAATTTATCTGGAGATTTTATTATTATTAAAGTGAGGAGCAGGGGAATACCAAATTGAGTAGTTAAAAAAAGCTTAAAGAGATATTGTGCAATATTATCAAAGAATACAAATTTTCAATCTGACCTGCACTATTTTAACTAATTAAATTATGAAATGTGTTTTATCTATACAATGTTTAAAAATAAAGGATAAACACAAACTCAATAAATCATATTGATTTATCCTGCTGAAAGTTTTTCTTCAAAGGATATTTTAGGGCCAATTGATCACCCATTGGGGTGCTGCAAAAGGGACCCTGTTTCTAGCAGTGTAGAGCCTATTCGGGGGCTGGGGGCTGGCTAAGGCTGTCATGTGGCCAAGCCCAGTTCCTGGACCCGCTGGACCCGCCGGACCGAGAATGGGGCCAACCTAATGGGGGACGCTGCCCGGGCAGCTGCGTGCGATTCTGCGAAAGCCGAAAAATTATAATAACCAGTTTCGGGCTGCTATTTTTTTTCTTCTGTTATTTCTTACATTTTTTTTTTTTGTGGCCATTTGCCAAAACCTTCGTTCAATGACCCGGCAGGGATAGGGTCCCAAGATGGGCCGAGAACCATGGAAAGGCAACTCTCCGTTTTCGCAAATTCTGCGGCGAAAGTTGATCGGCCCAAAGAGATGGAGAGCGATCCCCGAAAAAAAGCACAATCCCGAAAAAAAGAAAAGCACATTTAGATTTAAAGAGATATTGGACAGAAGTGGGCAAAGGCAAAGGCAAAGGTAAATTTGAAGGTAAATGCAAAGGCCTTTCCTTTGGCACATGGCCGCAAAACTGCAATAAACCAAATGCCGCAAGTGGCCCAAAATGAACAAACAGCAGCAGAATCATTTTTTTTGTCCATTTCGTTGTTGTTTTTTTTTTTTTTTTTTTTTTTTTTGGTAGTGTTGTATGTCTTCTGTTGAACAGAAATTCCAAAAGCAAATCCATTTTGTTCCGACTTTCATTTCGGAGCAGCGGCAAGCGCTGCACAGTTTGAAGACAATTGTATAAATGAAAGTTTAAGATCTCCGGCGGCAACTGTTTTTGGGCAGCGCACCTGCATGTGTGTTTGTAGGGCAGTGTACGTTCGTACGTATGAGCTAACGGCGGAGGGCGGGGGGCGTGGCAGCGACAGGTACACCGGCACTCGAGATCGATAGCATTCAGAAAAGTACAAAACAAAACAAAAAAAAGAAGCTGAAAAGAGACCCGGCACGTGTTGCCCCAAGAGCAGGAGCAAAAGCAAAAGCACTTTTTCAATTGTTCACCACTCGTCGATGATCGTTGCGATGATAATGATGCCACCATCGATATTGCTGCTGCTGCTGCTGCTGCTTCAATGTTGCTGTTGCTGCTTTTGCTGCTGCTGCTGCTGCTGCTACTTCCACTGATGATGATGAACATTTCTCCAGTGCAGTGTCTTCGAGTTTGCTACGATTTCGATTTACTTTTGCTTTTCATTGTTCCTAATGCGATGATGGCCAACAGCTGGCGGGGAATTGCCGCGGGTGCGCGGAGCGGAGCGGCTGTTTGTCGAGACATTAATAACAATTTCATGGTTTTTAACACAAAATGCAGCCCCATCGAAAACTTTTCCATCAATAGTTTCAATTTACTCGACATTTTTGCAGTGCTTTGGCTGCCTCATAGGATTAAGTGCTAATATTTGTAGCAGTTTGGATGCAATCGCTTTTCATTTAAAATCAAATGGGCTGTGCTTGATCAAGAATTTCTATTTAGCTAAATTAATGGCATATATTAGTGGTTATTATATGTTTAAATAGATCCATTTTACTTAATAATGTTTGTACTTTAATGTTTTTTTAAGCTAAAAAAAATGTATTTTATTTTGTACAACTTATTGAAGGTATTGTTTTATGATTAACCTTAAAAACAGGATTTCTTTTAGTAGTAACCTACTATATATATATATATATATATTCTAATCAGTTGAAACTTATTTAAAATCATAAGTACCTACCATCTAATTTTTTAAACTTTCCTCGGCACTTCTATGTTTTTTGGTTTCTCTACAAAAGTAACCTGTTCTAACCTCTGTCACTTCCTCGAACCCAATCGATTGATTCCATTGACTCCGATTCCATTGCCCCCGCCCAAAAGAGAAAAAAGCAGAATTAAGCAAGTAACCGTGGAGAATCAGCGTCAATTATGGTCATGTTCCCATACGTCCATCCATATCTATATGCCCGTAATATGCGATTTCGATTCGGGACAATCAACTCTTTTTTCGCTCGGGCGGGTGCTTCGCTTCCGGTGCTTGAAATAAATCTTCAAATTAAGATGCTGTCTTCCAGAAAATGCTCGAAAATCGAAGCAATTTTTTGTAGATTTCGCCGAGAACGAGCGAAACAAAGAGGGCAGATATAAAATTGAATGTGAAATCAAAAACGATCAAAAGCGCTTTGAAGTGACCACTTGGCACAATATGCGAAGTCTACACCCGACTTGAGTTCCCTCGGACTTATTCTGGCTGAATGCATGGGGAGTTTGAGCAGTTCAACAGAAAGAAGTACATTTAAAACAAATAAAATGTCTAAAATATCAGTATAAAAATAACAACATTAGTTGTGATAATAAACTATAGCATTTATTTACTTTATTATTTACTATTATCAGTAAGAACAACAAAATCAATTAACCATTATAAAGCACTCTGAACTCTTAAAGACACCCCTCTGAATAATCTGAAAATCTGACAGCAGCAAAACAGTTTGTTTAAAATGAACTCAAATGCGAAAATTACACCCCAAGCGACCAATTTAAAACCATTAAATTATAATTTTAAATTTTAAAGAGCCCAAACGACTTGAAGGGAGGGCAGCCACGGCATTATTCAATTAGGGAAGACGCATTTGTATAGTTTTCGGACTCAGCCAAATGGAGTGCGTTGGATCCATCCAACCCTCCGCCACCTTTTATTTACTTAAAAGTGGATTCTTAAAGTTTCGCAAGTCGATTTCAGTTGCTTCACTTGCCTCATTGCGATTGCAACACGGGTTCAACGTCAAGTGACGGAAGTGGAAAAACGAAAATTTAAATACAGTTGGACTTCTCTAAAGGGTACTTTTTGGTACTTTGAGAATAGCTGCTAAACTTAAAAAAAAAACATGTTAGAAATAGAAACAAAAATTTTCGAAAAATTACAGTGGATTAAAAAATATTATTAACATTTGAAAATAGATCACAACCGATCTAAACATTTATTATAATATATTGAATATTTGCCATATCACTGCCAGTCTAAGTAAAACAAAAAATTGAGATACTTGGGCTTTTCGAAAAATCCCTAAAAAATAGTAATATTGCATTTAAAGCTATACAAGTTCGACTGTAAAATAAAACGGTTAATTTCGAACTGAATGCAGTTGCTGGGCAGCCAAGTCGAGATCGCGGCGTGTAGGTGTACAAACGTTTCGCCGTTTATCTCTCTTAATCTGTGCGTTTGCACTCTCTCGGACCTGACACTCATAATTAAAGAAACAAATAAAGCACATTTGCATAGCAGCAGCAGCAGCAGCAACGGCAACAGCAGCAGCAGCAGCAACATCACTGGCAACAGCAACACCAACAGCAACATCCAGCAGCAATATCAGCAACAACAGCAACCACATGAAGCGAAGACCTCGGCACTTGTCGTGTCTTGGAAAGCTTCGCTGCCTTGACTTTGACTTTGGCCAAAAAGCTCTCTTTTCAGCCAGGTCTTGGCGTGGTGTTGCTGTTGTTGCCGTTGTTGCCAATGTTGCTGCTGCTGCCGCTGATGTTGCCGTTGCTGTTGTTGCCGCCGCCGATGTTGCTGCTGCTGGCGACTGCGACCGCGGCTGCTTGTCTTGGTTCTTTAAGTCCGTGGCTGGCTGGCTCCTCTTCAGTTCGTTGCTGACCATCGTTACGTGCGGACGTGCCCAGTGCTCAGCTCAGCTCATCTCCGTGTGATGTGGCTGCACTTAGCATACTCAACCTGAAACCCAGACCCTCGAGATCGAACATTTCACAAAACGAACAGCCAAAAGTGCCGCGACGCGAGTGATCAAACAAAATCAAATACAAGCCCCTCCTTAAACGGTAGCTAACAAAAAAATCGTTAATAAATTGCAAGCGAGAAGGAAATAATAATAATAATTCTGTTGATGATCGAGGAGGACACTTTTCGGAATTGGAATTGGACTAAGGCGCGGCCATCGGGCGAACTGAGTGTAATTTGAGTTTTCAGTTTTTAGTTTTCTTGCGCACACAACAGCACTCGGCAGGAAAACAAACAAACAAACCGAGCCAGCAAGCAAAGCAACCAACAAACAAACAAACAGCGAGCGGCCAGATAGACAAACATACATGGGAAGGCAGGCAGGCAGGCAGGCAGGCAGGCAGGCAGTCAAGTGAAGACGAAGACAGCGCAGCGTTCTCCTGTCCAGTTTGCTGCGGATTCAGTTGTTCGAGATGCAGTGGCACTGTGGCAATGCGGCAATGCGGCAACTGCAACTGCAACAGAACCGAACAGAACAGATGCAGATGCACCCAAAAGCCAGTCCACCAGCACTCGGATTCTGGCTTCGAAACTGCGGCACATGTGGTGCTGTTGCTGCGGCAAGCTGGTGGTGCTGGTGGTGGTGCTGCTGCTGCTGCAAGCTGGTGGTGCAGTCGCCATATTGGGTGCATAACGGTGCTAGAATCGCGCTGCTTTTTTGTGCCTTACGTCTTACGAGTGTGTCTTAGCCAGAGTCTTCAGCCTGGCTCTTGCGACGACTCTTGGCTCTTGGTGCTTGGCTCTTGGTGCTTGGCTCTTGGTTCTTGGCTCTCGGATCGCGGATCTCTCGGATCTCGACTCTCGGCGGTGCATTGCATCGCACCGTACCGCATTGATGACGACCCAGCGACCGATAGATCAAGCGCAAAAACCGCAAACTGAAAATGCTGTTCCCCAGCCAGCGACCCGATCTCTTGCGGTCGCCACAGCCACAGCCACAGCCCAACACTTTGCACATGCTGATCGATTGCGGAAGATCTCCGCCATCGCCATCGCCATCGCCATCTCGAACTCAATCTTCATCTCCGTCTCCGTCTCCGTTTGTATCTGAAGATATACGTATCTGCATCGGCTGACTGGGTCACAAAATTGAGCCGGGCCAATGTCCAGACACGCCCATAAACGCCCCTTGACCAAAAGCAAATAATAAACAGGAATTATAGTTACAGAAAAAGAAAAGGCACATAAATGTTGTGAAATTTTACACTCCGTATGTCTATTTGAACGTTTTCGAATTTTGTTTCAAGCTGTAGATATCTGTTTTCCAAAAATCGCTCAGTTTTATTTGCATAAACAAAAATAGAACTTTATTGCATTAAAAGCAGGATAAAATGTTGTATATCCTTGAATTGATTCGTTGAAGAACTGATTCACAAAACACAATTTTGTTCCAGAGTACAAATTCATTTCCATATTTAAATGATCGTATTAGTTTGAAAATAATTACTTATTAAATGTGTATCCTAGAATTTGTGCATTTATTCAAAGCTCAGAATAGCATATCTTTATAGAAAGAAAATAAAATTAAAACTAAAAAGGCTTTATAACTAACATACATAGGTGAAGTTGATTTTTAAAAGTTTTAATTTTGCTCAAGTAATGTTTTTTGTATGGAATATTTGAAATGGTTGCCAGTAATATTACATATTTTTTTAAAATTCGTTTTAAAAATTTTATTTTCCTTTGTAAGAGAAAAAACACATTCAACTTTTGAGATAAGCCCAACCTGCGCACACATTTTGCTCTGTGCAGCGACTAGTTCTCAGGCCATCTCACCTTAGACCAATTTAAATCGAACTCCGGAGCCCTGCTTCATTGTCAGCTCCGTTTGCCCTTCCCTTTTTCCCCCCCACTTTTTATTAAGTTATAAAAATGCTGGAGTTAGTAGATGTTTTATATCGGCGCAGAGCTCTTTACTTTTTTCCCTCTTCTTCTTCCCAGCCGCCTAACGGTAATGCCCTAGAGCGCCACATTCTCAGACCCAGTCCAAGTCTCGAACTCTTCGGCCCAGACTCATGCATTGCAATAAAATGAAATTTTATAACAGCAGCGAGATCCAGCGACGGCAACAAAAACGTTACCCAAATTCCGAATAAAAAAAAAACATACACACAGACACACACACACACACAAGATACAAAAGCGAAGAAAAGCAGAGCGAGAGAGAGAGAAAGAGAAGGAGACAGACAAAGGTCGTCACAGCAAGTGAAAATAGCAAAAAAGTCAAGAGAACAAAAAAAAAACACGGGACAGTGGTCGGGAAAAATAAACGAAATAAGTTTTAGGGCCTAGTGGCCAAGAAGAAGAAGAGACAGCTAAAGGTGGCTCAGGTGGTTCAGGTGTTAATTTCCCATTTTCGGCTTTTCGGATTTTCGGGTTTTCGGCTGCCGCCGCAGCAAGTTCGCTGCCTAAGTCTTTCGTTTTAAAGTGGAGCGACCGACTGCGCGCCGCTCGAATGCCCATTGAATGCGAATGAGGGGCGTGTGAGCCGCAAGCCGGCCGGTTCGCCTCGTCCGACAACTGCAAAATAATAAAACAGAAATTATTATTATTATTTCCCTCTTTTTTTACTGGGGCGCATTTCCTTTACCCCCAAAAAAAACGAAAAAGAAAAAAATTAAACATAAAGACAAGTAAATGAAAGAGAAGAAAGGTTTTCGTTCCGTTTTTGACCCTCAGAGTTCAGGGTTTAAGTCAAGTCACCCCCTCCTCACCACCCGACTCCTTTCCACAGCACAAAACATATATTAACGACTGCAACGAGAGGAGCACCGGCTAGCCAGCGAAATAATCCAAGAAAGCAGCAGCGGAAAATCGGAAAGAAACAACAGCAGCAGCAGCAACAACAAAAACTAACATACAAAAGGAGGGAAAAGCGAGAAAAGCCTTCCCTGGAAGAGATTCGAGGCAGCTTCTTGGCGATTCAGAAGCGGCAATGACGGCGACTGCGAGGCAGTCAGCAGCATCGAGAAAGCAACCTGCGATCGCCATGCTCAATGGAAACGCTTTTACGGTTAAGCGGCTCTTAGCGGTAAGTCAACTTGGCCAAAAAATATAGTAGAAAAATAAAAAAAATAGAAGACCCAAACTCAAATTGCACTCCCTCGTAGAAGAAATCATCATCATTTGGGGCGTTGCCAATTCAAATCGCTCCAAAAAATCGGGCAAAGCAAATGTTTGTCACCTGGTCAGCTCCATTGTTAAGCACTTTTTCGCTTTCTTAAACAAAAGATTCATTTTTTGGCACCAATTTGAGTTATATTTTTTGTTGTTGTATCGTAATGTTGGCGTGGGCACTTCAATCGTGGGCCGCTGCTCCCCAAGCTCTTTTCTCTTGTGTGTGAAGAGCTGTGAAGTCGGCCATTGGGTCAAATTGTAGCTGATAGATGGATAGGCAGGCGTCGAAGATCATGATGAAGTCGGTTCCGTTCGGTTGGGGGTCGCCACTTCACCGGCTGAGTAATGTGGGCAAATTAATCTAATAAAAGGTGGGAGTCTTCTTAGCCTTTTGCTCCACTCAACCCAACATCACCCCGAACAACAACAACAGCGAAACAAAAATGAAACACAAGAAGTGGCCATTAGGTTTAGTGAATTATTTGCTTCATAAAATTTCATTGCCCAGCACTTAATCATTATTACTGCGGGAAGAGTTATTATTGGACTACTATGGGAACTAGTTTGTCTTTTAATAAATGCTTCTTTCGGATTTCTTCGCTATTTTTGGGTTCCGGAAAAGGAGAAAAGAGATTGAGAGGAAGTTAGGTGAGCTGAAGTTATAGCAAAGTTTTTAAGATCCAAGATTTCTTTAATAAACATTTTTTATTCTTCGTTGATAACTTTTAAGGAAGGAACTTGAAATTGTTATTTAGTAACAATTCTTAATTAACGTCAAAGATGTGGGATAAAATTTTCTCGTTTCACAGAATTAGAACTCAAATGCTTTTCTGATTTTGAAATTTGTTTTTAAGTTACGTTAATCTTCTGCTTGCTTGAAATTTTTCTTGTTAATTTAGTAAGTTTAAAACACATTTTTTGATCCTCCATCGAAATTCAATTAGATTTTCCCATCCAATTCAGAATCTATTCCTGGTGCTTAACCAATAGAATCCGTTTAGTGGAAAGCCATCGGCCAAGGGCTCCTCAGCATCACTTCACAGAAAATTCCTTCCACCAGATTTTCCACTCGGCCAAGAGTTGGTCCCAAGACCAACAAACAATTTATCCGTTTCGATGTTGTTTGTTATTATGTTCCGCTGCCCTCGGCCGGCCCATTCAGCCCATTTGGAGCCAAGTGCATTAAGTCTTGGCCAGAAGAGCTGCATCCAAGTCAGAAAAGCTAAAAGAGCTGCTGCATCTGTGCGCTCCACCTGCATTCGGCCCGGCCAAAGGTCACCAGACGGTCTGGCGCCCGACGATCATTAAAAGAATACGAAAGTAATTTGTAAAACACGAAAACGTATCTACTCCTTTTTTTTCTGCTGCCCGGACTTGCTGTTCTTTTACGATTCTAAATTACAATGACTGCAGCGGCGGGGTCTAGAACAAACACAAAAAAAAAAAGAACAAAATGCCACTGCAACGGGTCTTCATTAGCACACACTGACTGACTGACTGGCTGGCTGGCTGTAAACCCAAAAACAAAAAGAAAAACATGCGGAAAAAATAGCAGAAAAATAAATAAGCCAAGTCAGTTCGCCTGGCTGATGAATGGTGTTTTGGCAGTTCGGGCCTTAAAGACTGGCTTTTTGGCCAGGAAGATGAATGTTCGGTCCGAGGATTACAAATGGCCGGGTGGACGCGGCTTGACGGTTATTAGCCTTCTGCCCGCCGATCTCCGATCTCAGATCTCCAATCTCTGTGTTTGCCCACCTCTTTTGGACAGCCGAGTTGACAGTCGCTTGGCCAAGAACGTAACGTAACGAAAGTAACTTGGCCCCCAAGTTATTGGGTCAAATCGAAACAAACACTCGCCTATACTCGTAGTGTGCCTCTAATAGCCAACACACATCATTCTCGCCGCCTCTCTCTTTATTCTGGCCTCTCGAAAGCGTAATTAAACAATTTCTTCTCTGTTTATTGACATTTTATTGATGCCGCCGAGCTTCGACGGTTCCATTTCATTTCTGGTTCTGGCTCTGATTCCGCGCTTGTTTGTCATTCCAATTCCAATTCCAATTCCTATTCCTACTTTGATTCCGAATCCGATTCTGATACTTTTCCCTCATTCGAGGCCTTGTTTGTATTGTTGCTCCCATTGAGCGGTGATACTCCTCGGCTTTCAATGGGTTAAATGGTCGAGGGTTTCGCCGAGGGGCCTGTGAAGAGCTGCAAGTGTTGTTTTGACTAGACAAGCATCGAACGAGTGGCGAAATGATCTCGAGAAACGAGAAAACACCTCTCAATGGGGATTATGTGGTGTAGTTTATTTGTTTATTGTTACTTGAAGAGCCCAAAAGAGCCGGACTAATGGTTTGTTGATCAATAAACCCAATTTAATGACTTTGATTGTTGGTTGTTCTTCGGGAAAGCCGCAAGCAATGTTTTCCTTAAATAATTACTGGCATTTCAAGCTGAACAATTGAAAATAGAAAAATGATTTTATATAGAAATTTCAAATACAAATTTAACATTTTCAAATCACTTTTTGATGAGGCACTTTATCCTCCTTAAATCCTAGTTAAAGCCGCAAGCAATGTTTTCCTAAAATAATTACTGGCATTTCAAGCTGAACAATTGAAAATATAAAAAGGGCTTGATTTTGTATAAAAATTTGAAATACAAATTAAACAGTTTGAAATCACTTTTTGATGAGGCACTTCATACTCCTTAAATCGTAGTTATTTTATCACAACTCTTATTAAAACCATCTCACATAACCATTTATCACAATCAACGCGGCAATGGCAACAAAATTGCATTCCGCCAAACGATCCTAACTGTGATTTTAATGTCTCAACTTGTACGATTTACCAAAGAGTTGCGTGTCTGCGGAATTGGAATCCCAATTGGAGAGTTCTTACCAATTAGCCGAAGTCTGCGGAATTCCCCCCTGAAAAGCTTTATGTAATCGTTGCTTTTAATGCGTTAACAAATTCAGCAAAAATCGGGAAAAAAAGTAAAGCCAAGGGCGGGGGAGTTCGCAGTACCGTTGGCCAATATGCAAAACCCAGAACCAGAAGAAGAGAATTTAAAAAGAAAAACAAGCCCAGTTACCCAACTACTATCTGTACTTGTATCTGTATCTGTTTTGGCTTTGGTTTCGGTTAGGTAATGGCGAATCCCCCGAGTCGGGGCCGTAATTAATGGCGTGTGGCGCTCATTCGCGATGAGCAGAAAGTACATTGCACTCTGTGTCTTGGCCACAAAATTCAGCTTATTTATTAGCCAGTTCTAACTGCAAAAGCAAAGCGGGGGAAAGAGCTCAAAAGAGCAGAGTTGGCAGTGGGTACCCTTGGCTCTGCTGTTTGTTTCTTGCCTTCTTGCTTTTTTTTTTAATTATAGATCCCGGACAATCCCACCCCGGCTTCAAATGGGCGTGTGTTTGGTGTTCAGGCAACTGTTAATTTTGTCTTACAACTCCCGCTCGAGTATCTAGCATATGTAGCATCTGATAGAACGTTAACTGTGTCTGCGTCAAACAAAAGCTCGCTCGCTCGCAGATGGTAGCTACAAGATACTTTTACACACATCGCACTTCATTCATGAAGACAAAAACAAAAAGAAGGCAACCGCAGCCGTCAGTATGATCTACTACGATTAACTACGAATTTTACGGCTATTTCTTCGCGCTTTTCGGCCCACAGGTATTCCGTGTAGTCGGCCAATTTGTTCGGCACTTTAACAAGAGTTGGTCAAGACCGCGCCGGCCAATTTGTTGGCTCATTTCGGTTGAGGCCTCATGCCCGGCTTAATCATGCTTTATGCAAAGTTGGGCACCTAATTGAAATAATTAAGCGGTGTTATAAATGCCAGATAACAGATCTACGGCCGTTGCATAAGTTTCAGGTTATTAAATTATTACGGGGAAAATAATATGAATCTGCTTGCGTTTCCTGGGGAAATGTAATATGCAATTGTTGTGGGAGTTAAGTTACACGAATTACATGCTCTCCAATTATAAGTAATAGGTAGGGCCTGCTTTGCACAAGAATAGGAATACAAATCAACACAAGTAAAGCTAATTAGGAACAGCACAAATATTTGCCTAGTTGGAACTATATTTAAATAATAATATATGCAAGCCATATGAATAAATGAATAGCTGTTGTATTATTTCTATGCCTTAATAGAGTGGAATTTCATTTTGACATAAATAAAATTGAGGAGATGAAAAGTTTCTTTTACGATTCATCTTTGCTTAGATTACCAATGTTAATTCTTTTAAAAAGATAATAACCATTTCATTACCCTCACAACAAATTATCATAATTTTTTCTATACATTTTAGACTAATTCTTATTTTTTTTTTAATCTTTTTAGCTGCTGATCATCTTCACAGTCTTGGACGCGAGTCGAGCATTGGAGTTGGGCGACAAGTGCCAGCACGACATGGACTGTACGGATTTCATCAAGGGCAGCAGCTGCTCCGCTCTGGGATACTGCGAGTGCGCCCCCTACTTCGTCCAGTTGAATTCCAAACGCTGTTTGTCATGTAAGTAGGCAAAGTCAATCTTTGGCTAACCCCAAAGTGGGAGTACAGAATGTTTGCCGGGCAAACAATGGGCGGAGATGTGTGTTTGTCCACAAGAGAACCGTTAGCTGCACTCGCTGCGACTTTCTTTACACAGAGAAAACAATTCCGACTGTTTCCTCCCGACTTAAATTAGTAATTCAAACTGTGGGAGTCAGCCGGGGAATTTATATTACCTAAGTCAAGTTTAACAAATGGCAACTATCACTCACTTTTGCTCAGCTTAATTGGCTAACGTGTTAGGAACTTGAGTAAAAATAAAGTCAAGTGCCATAAGTTCCTACATTATCTTTATAAATCAAGTTTATTTAAAGAATAAATGTAAGGAGTTTGCTTTAAATGCTAAATAAATGTGGTTCATTTTGGTTAATTAAAAAGCTTACATAGCTCTGTTTAAAAAAACCTTTATTGTTATTACTTTAATAGCTTTTCATTTTGGATAATGTTGTTTCTTTATCAGTATCTAGATACGTATCTCTTTGAAATACATATTTTTTTAAATCTCTTATTAACTTCTCTTCAACCTAGCACAATAATACTTTCAAATCTTATTTTTAATGAGTTCATTTTACGCTCTCGTGCGAACGACTCAATCTAATGAGTGCAATTAGAATTAAGTTTGATTAGAATTTTTAATGATTTTTTACCTTTGATTGATCCACAGCTCAACTCCTCGGCGGCGACTGCCAGCTGAGCGAACAGTGCTCGATGAAGGTGGCCAACAGCAGCTGCTTGGAGGGGGCCTGCCGCTGCGTGGAGGGATTCCTGCAGTTCCGAAAGCACACCTGTCTGGGACGTAAGTATCTGCCGACCGCCGGCCAGCTATTGTGGCCCTAATCCTCCAGATTGCCCGGGATATACCACATATAATAGTAACATAATATCATTAACTGTTCGGTGTGCGGTATTTGGTGAATTGCAATAAACGGACGGCAGCCGACCAATAATAATAATCCCCACTCTGATTGCTTATCATTTCTCGAACTCCCCTGGAATGTCACGCAATGTTGGGTATGCTATATAGTACCTTCTATATATGTATGTCCACTCCTATTTCCTGTTTGCCGTTCGTTTTACACCTTGGGCTCTCCAAGCAGGGTTCTCTCCTTTTGCCGGCACCTGAAACTGGCAATTAACACGGGCATAACACTAAAAACGGCCGAGTGTAACAATAACAATAACAATGAACCGAATGCTCCGGCCTAACAAGACAATCGTGTCACTAATTATACGCATAATTGGTTAATCTTCCAAGAACTGGCCAACTGGCTAACATGTTGGTGGAAACCGACTGGCAATCAGCCACCACGGACTTCAGATCATTGAACGCTTTAAGCGCTGTACGTTAAATGTTAAATGTAAATGTTTGGCTTTGATCTCTCCCTGCGATTGTTTGTCTTTCTGTTTGTGCCTTGCAATGTGTGAAAGATACACTTTAAGATACTCGATTCTTGCCGCGATGCAACTGAACTCTTCTAGGGCTTTGGGCTAAGGAAAAAACCAGTGACTCACTCACCGACTTCGGAATAAATCATTGGCAGGTGAATCACCAAGTGACTAAGGAACGCGCAAAGTAGAAAAGAAAGAAGGTTCAAATTTATGGAGAAAAGATAAAAGAAATTATTCTGGAGTGGCATTGGGAATAGCTTTTTCTATTAAGATAATCAGATAGATTTCTAACTCGTGAGTAGAGTTCACAATTTAAATTTTATCATTATTAAAAGAGTTGCTGACATGTAGCTATTGCAATACATAAAGCCAAAATGTTATTTCACAGTCTAGAATTTCTTAAATATTTCCCTTAAGCAGTGACTAAATTTCCTGCAAATTTGGAGCTATAAAAATTGATCTTGGGTACTTTAGATCTCCGCCAGCCCTGCAATCGATTGCAATCTAGTTTGAATGCGCTCCACTTCCTTTTGGCACATTGGCGCCAAGTGGCGTTAATCTGATTAGAATGTTGACTAGATCGAGAGGCCATATGGCGGGGTTATACCCCCGAGCACTCCTCTTCCTGCAATGCATTGGCTTCTTTAAAGTTTAAACACGCCAAAAGCAGAGCAATGAGGCACGATCGTGGACATGGAGCCACTGCAACTGGCGCAGTTCGTGTCATTGCCATTCACCTGATGTTGCAGTGTTCCCTCCATACTCCGCACTCCTCAGTCCCCTCGTTAGCTACTGACTTAATTATATAGAATAAGAACTCAATATATATACAAGTGGAGAAGGGGGCGTGGCAGGACAGCTGCCTAGAATGAGCTGGATATTTAATTAAGCGTCATTTTGAGGACAAAGAATTGAATTAGCTTGAAACGAAAAAAGCTAACAAAATACATAAATAAATGTTATAATTTTGAGTAGGTGAAAGATATTTTTAAACCAAGAGTAAGCCATATTCCTTCATCTCTTTCCGCTTTTTAAATAACCACCTATTAGAACCTATTCATAGGTGATTAATATCAATTAAGACTAATTGCATACGTACCCCTTGGATTTTTTCCATGTGTAGCGGGGTTTTTGTGGCAAGTGCAAGAAGTGGCAAGCCAGTCATTTATGAGATACTTTCACCAAAAACACAATAAAAGAAAGAGGAGGCGAGAGAGCCGGCGAAGTGAACCTTTCACCAGAGACATCCTGCCAGGGCAACCATTCCTGCCCCTCCCCCCTTTTCCCCCTCCCATTTCCCCTCCTCAAAACTCCGAGTTCCCCGTTGCGATTAGTATCTTTGGCTACTTTACATGGCTAATTGCCTCGACTCGTAATTAAATTGCACTGATTAGCCGCCGATGCCGATGCAAAAGAAAGTCCAAGAAAGTCCAATTAGTTCTCAGCGCGAAAGAGTATAAAATAAATACTATATATAAATAATCAGAAGGAAAAAGAAGAGAGAGAAGCGACAGATCGCTGGAATTCCCGGGGAAAGAAAAGCCAAAACTCTTTCGTATGCAGTTGACAAAAAGCGCTGCACACATTGCGATTTCGGATTTGGGATGGGGATTGGGATGGGGATGGGGATGGGGACTGGGATTGGCCATTCACTTCATCCTATCGCCATTCCGCTCTATCGCGGGTCAAGTGAAGCAAGTGGTGGTGTGCCACATTCAGTTGGCTTGTCAGGCTTTCCATTTGGCCAGGCCACTTGTTCCAGTTTCCCATGCACCTTAACCCATCGGGCCCAAGCCCATTCCGGGATTGGCTCATTCGGTTACCCGTTTTTGTCTGCCGTCTGTTGTTGTTAGCCAGTCGGTCTTAACGAGCCACCAGCAGAGCAGCTGAGCAGCAAAGCACCGCCAACAATGAGCCACTTCCTCCACATCTCCTCCGATCTTTATGAGTTATGCACATATGACAACTCTTTTACCCCCGGTTGCATCGCCATTCTGCTCTTTAGTCTACTCTACTCTCCCCGTTTCACGTGCTGCGGTAAAAAGTATGCCAAATATACATATATATATGTATATATTGTGGAGTATACAGATAATGAACAGATAGCCCAGACACATGCGGCCAACGTCGGAGGCTGCGACTGTCAGCCAGATCGAGATCTTCTGCATACAAAGCTGCAGGAAAAGTGAACCACTCTGACGTCGTCGATCATCAGGTGCACACAGAAAAAATATTTAACTCTGCACTTGATATCACATCAGTTTGAAAAGGTTTCAATCCATTCTTTTGTTAAATATTGAAGCAGAAAAATAATAGTTTTTAACTAAAGATAGTTATTGCAAGTCTAGTAAGAATTTCCTAAAATAAACATAGAAAATACTAGCATTTTTCTTATTTTAATATTGTATTTAACAAGCAAATTGTTTCTTTACTTTTTCCTTATAACTTCAAAACAAAGGAATATTTCTCAATATTAAAATAAAAAAACCTACTTTTTATATCAGTTTAGGACTCTGCTAATAGAAACAAACAAACAGCTCAATAAAAATACTGCCCCAGTAGTCTTATAGTTTCGCTACAAATTGGTAGTAAAATAATTTACATATCCAAACTTGTTTTTGGTGAAGATTTCTACGTCTTCCCAAAATATTCAAACATTTCTTGATGCCAAATTTTGCCTTTCATGGCATTCCCGACTCTCATTATATAAGTCATTTGAAATCTCCTAGTCACTCTCTTTAGCAAGTCGGCTTACTTTCTTCCTGCCTCAACACCTTCGCAATCCAAAACAGGGAAAATACTTTCCATTGCGACACCCAGCACCAAAAATATAAAACAAAACACTTAAAATGGTTAGAAAGAAAGACCAAAAGCAAAAGCCACCGAAAATTCCATTTCATTTCGCATGACCCACAAAGGCAGCCAGTCAAACTGTGTTAATTTGCGGCTAGAAACCGAAAAAAAAGAGAAAAATACGACAAAAATTTTCTTGAATGGCCATTTCAAACTAAATTGCGCCAAATGCCAAATTGCATGCAAATTATGTGGAACACTCGACTTCCGCAAAAAGACAATAATAATGGCAAAAAAGCTAATATTTACCAAAGTAACATTTCCAACAAACGCAAATCGCTGCTATTAATTAAAACATATTTTTATTTTTGAATCGCATGGGGGGTTTTAATGAATAGTAGGCAATTGGCTCTTACGCCTTAATGAAAGTCAACGGCATAAATGGACTTATTATAGCCGCAGGAATGCCGGCGCAGATTTGAGATACATTTGAAGCTCAGCACGAGTATCTGTATCTGTGCGTTTCAGGCGGTTGACACAGATTTGCAATTCCGGCCACCGGCGGCGACTCAACCAAAGACAATAACGCCGAGGAAGCAGCGATTTAATTTATGCTGATTTCGATGGAAATTATTGTTCATGATGCGAGCGAGCCAGCCCGCCGCCACCCGTTGCGCCCATTTGGAAAAAAACGATGAAAAAATATCTCAAAGATCCAGCCAGTGGGCAATTTTCACACGCGTCGCCGAGATCTCGCAGAGCGGCTTTAGCCGTAATCGAAGTGGGTTAGGTTAGCAGTTGCAGTCGTGCAGCGATTCGCATGCAACCTGTCGCACCACCAGCCACAAAAGAGGGAGGCGGAATGCGGAGGGGGGAGGGGGTGGGGCAGCGCTAAGTGGCCGTGGCATTGGCCCCCAGCCTATCGATCATCGTTTTTGGTGGCCAGGCCAGCTCGAAATAAGGCAATGCATCGGCACGCAGGAAAAGAAAACATATGTATCTTTCATCTAAAACAATTTATAGTAGTTTTTTTTTTGTCTTTAGTTTTTTACGAGTTAAAATAAATGGCCAAAAGAAATACCGTTCAGGGTATAATATTATTATAACAACTAAATAAATAACTAACAAAAGTTTCTTGGTTTTATGATATCTTTATTGGTTTAAATAAAGAAGTCCTATTGTAGTTCTAAAGATTTTAAATTTGTATTAATATTTTGTTTAGTAATATCACTTTTAATGTTTAGTAATGTCATTTTACAAACAATGAAATAATAATTTTGGCACAAATTATGCTCTTAACTTTTAACACAAAAAATATAACTTCCGATGGTAAAAATGAAAAGGAAAATATTAACAGAAAATCAAACATTTTTTTAAACTGCTTAGGAAAACGAAACTCTCCTAAAAGTTACTTGCTTCTTAAATGATGCTGTTAGCGAGGTGATCGATGGCTATAACACATTATATCTGATCACTAATCACTGGTAATATTTTTCGCTGTGTGACCGCTTCGAATGCTGTTATATAAAAGTGAAAGATGGGGCCAACCGTTCGGGGTCTTTGGGAACCCCCTTCGATTCTTCCTGCAACGCATTGATTCCATATTGGTGTCAAACTCCGGCAAGACACGTTTGAGCTACTCGCATTTGGAATGGCAATGCAATGCGATGCGATGCAATGGCAATGCCAATGGAAATGGAAATGGAAATGGCAGAGCGGCAGTGTCAGTGTCAGGCGGTGAATTCGTTAAGTATACGCCACGTTGTCCGTATGCCTTAGGCTGTATGCCTTTTATGTGCCTCGGAGTCACCGCTCTCAACCGGTTCCCCAATGACCAATGCCAGAAACATAGTAAAGAGCCAGAGTCACAATCTTTTGTGTGGTGCCGACAAATGTTGCATTTGTGGCCGAAATTCCCGCGAGAAAAGCAAAGTTTTTTTTTTTTTTTTGTTGCCTTGGCTAGAATTAAGGGTATGCCGATTTATGATCTCGTTCGGTTTCGAATCCAAATTGAATGCCAGCTGGGGGTAATGGAAATGAAAATGGTAATGGTAATGGATCTCCTTGGCCAGACACTGCCCAAAGGGCAATTGCAGGTGGCTGCTTTAGCCAGTGAAATGGTAAATGGCATGTCGCCAGTTGCAGTTGCTTGTTGCAACTTGCTGCGCTTGCTGGTTGCCAGTTGCCAGTTGCTAGTTGCTGGTTGCTAGTTGCTGGTTGCTGGTTGCTGGTTGCAACTTGCTGGCAAGCCAAAAACGAAACAAGTGAAAACAAGTTGGAGCGGCAGTCCGGAAAGTGGGTCAGAGCTGAGATTCCAGTGGAGGACAGTGGCAGACACGCAGGTGGCTCAGTCTTCGCCTCAGTCTTCGGTCTTCGGTCTTCCGTCTTTAGTCCTCTTCTGTCTTCTGTGCAAAAGAAGAGTCTCCGTCTCTTTTTAGCCAGTTATCGGCGAGTGGAATGCTGATGAGGAACGGTAATGGGAATGGGCGACGTCACCGACGTTTCAGCGTCATCTTCTGGTTCCCATCTGTTCCCCTTCTTAGTCAGTTCTACACAGAAAGAATGGGGATATCAAATGGACTATACATTCTTGATTTGAAGTGAGCCAAAGAACAAAGGAATAGTATGGTAAAAACAAAATATTATTTAAAGAAAAATAGAGAGAAAACGTGTTACCAGCTGCAAAAGAAAACGTAGAGTGGCCTTGCCATTAAAAATTTGGTCAAATCAGGATTTAAGGATGGTAATATTTATTTAAGGTTTCCTAATAAAGTCAAATATGATTTTTTATTTTCGTTCTCTGTAACAATCTGGGTTCTCCTCTGCATTTTCTTTCGGCCATGCGTTGAGGTTGATGCAGTTGCAGTTGACTTTATTGACGGTTATTAGGCTTGTCGAAGGCGGGCTAATGCTCTGATGTTGTTGTTATTTATATTGTTGTTGTTATTGTTATTGTTGTTGTTGTTGTTGTTCTTGTTCTCGTTGCGGCCGCTCCTCCTTGTTCTGGTGTGGCTGTTCATGATGATGATGATGAGTTTTTAATATGCATTTGGTGCTTGGAGTTCGGTTTACGGTTAGCTTAATAACACATCCCAACCCATCGTATTCCTCCCACCCAGAAGATAAAAAAAAAAAACAAAAAAATCCCATGAGAACCTTTTTGCAAACCAATCTTTGTCTTCCAATTGCAGCCGCTCATCCTGGCGCCGTTTGCTACAGCCACGCCCACTGTCAAATGTTCGACACCCGCACCCACTGCGACTTCCTCATCCCGAACCTCTTCGGTCGCTGCCAGTGCACCAGTCCCGCCAAAATGGTGGGTGGTCTCTGTGTGGCCCCCGCGGCGGATCAGGAGGACCAGCAGCCCATCGAGAAGGTGGAGCAGCCAGCTATTAGTACCACCACCACCACGACAACCACTCCTGTGCCCACAACCACCACGAGGAGAACAACAACAACGACTACGACGACGACAACCACGCCTGCACCCACAACAACCACAACCACCAGAAGAACAACCAGCACAACCACCACGACTGCTGCTCCGATTCTCCTGGAGGATGAGCTGCCCGCCAGCGTGGAGGAGCAGTCCATGGAGGAGGATGATGGTGAGACCACCAAGCTGCGACCCGAGGTTCCCAACATCGACAATGGCGAGAAGTTCGAGGCTGTGGACATGGCTCACGAGGAGACTGAACTCACGCAGCAGCAGCATCAGGAGGAGGAGCAACAACACCAGCTGGAGGAGCAGCAACACCAGCTGGAGGAGCAGCAACATCAGGAAGAGGAGCAGAAACATCAGGAGGAGGAGCAACAAAAAGTGGAGGAGCAGCAAAAGCAAGAAGAACAAGAGCTTGCAGCCAAGCCAAGCGATTCAGAGCTGCCCCAATCCTCTCCAGATGCCACCACTGGTGTCCAGCAGCTGCTCACACCCGCCGATGTTCCAACCGAGAATGCCATCAATGTGGAACCGGAAACCGAATCCGCTGTTACCGAGGATTATCCGTACAAGATCGAGGAGGAGTATCCGGAGGAGCACGAAGATAAGCCAGAAGCTCCAGAACTGATGGTGGATCAACCCGAAACACCCGAAGAAGCACCCGTGGAAACACCAGTGGCACCCGAAGTCGCGCCCATCGAAGCTGATGAGGAGGCTGCCGAGGCATCTGGCGGCGAGGAGATTGCTTCATCGCCCATCGAAGAGGCCATGAAACCTGATTATGAATCGCCAGTCGGAGAGGCCGAACTGGAGAGGCCAGGAAATGAGGAGGAGAAGAAGGAGGAGGCTTCAGTGAGCCAGCCAACTAATGAGGGGGTGGTGCCCATCGATACCGAAAGCGAGACTGATGCGGAATCCAGCACCGAGCACCAGATCCAGACGCAGTTGCTCGGCGACGAGTTGATGGAGGAGCAAGAGGAAGAAAAGAAGGATGAGGAGACATCGGTGGCCGATGAAGAACTGATCCCGGTCGATGGAGCCGAAAGCGAAAGTGTGACGAAGGCAGCCGAAGAGGCCGATGATGAGAAGCCGGCGGAGGAAATTCCAGAGGATCTGGCTTCGGGGGATCATGAGCTGGCTGAAAACGATGTGCAGGAGGAGCCAACAGAAGCGTTGAAGATCGACGAGCCAGTCCAGGTGGAGAGTGAAAGCCAAGTGGACGAGGTGGCAAAACCAGAGGAGCAAGAAACCGAAATGGCAATAGAAAAAGAAAAAGAAACAGAAGCAGAAGAAACGGCGGCCACCGAAGCCGCAGAAGTGGAGCTCCAGTCGACAGAAGCCAAGCCAGATATGGAAGCCGAGATCGATCAGGCGGAACAAAGCGCCGACATCAAGCCGACAAGTGGCGAAGATGATTTAAATGAAGCCAATCAATTAAATCAAGACCAAGTTGCCGAAGAGCAGGAGAAGGAGAAGCAGGAGGAGGAGCACCAGCAGCAGCAGATCGAAGAAAAAGAGCCCGAACAGGTGGTGGAAATCCATCAAGATGCAGATGCCGATGCCGATGCCGAAGCCGAAGCCGATGCAGATGAAGCCACAACAGAGAAACCAGTCCAAGAGATCGAGCAGGAGGCGGAGGCAATCACCGAAGCGGAGCACGAACAATTGACATACCCAACAAATGATGATGAATTGGCGCCAGTGGAAATAGAACCAGAGCTGACCACAGAGGAGCCAGAGAACGCCGAGATCACAACAAAGTTGCCAGAGGAGAAGCAGGAGGATGAGGAGGAGAAGATTGGTGAGCAGGTTGTGGAACAGAACGAGGTGGAGGAGCAGCAGGTGGAGAGGGAGGAGCAACAGGTGGAACCCGAGGAAAATGCAAATGCAATTAAGACGCCCGAAGTGTCGGAAGCAATTGTGGAGCCCCAGGCAGCAGCACCAGAAGCAGCAGCACCACCAGCAGAAGAGGTGGAGACGGAGATCCAGTCTGCCACCGAGAAAGAAATCGAACCACAAGTTGAGCAAGAGGAGGAGAAGGAAAAGGAGAAGGAGGAGGAGGAACCCCAATCGATAACCGAACAAATCCAAGAGGCTGAGCCCACCACTAATGATGTGGATCAGGCCAAGCCAGAGCTGCCAATTAAGAGCGATGCATTCGATATCGAACAGGAAGCCACCGAGGAACCCGCTCAGACGGACCAGACAGAGATTGCCCCCGAAAACGAATCCGAACCAGCCGCAGCGGAGGCCAGTGAAAGTGTTCCAACTCCGGAGGAGGAGGAAGGCAACCAACAGCTGAAGGATGAAGTTGAGGTGGAGAAGAACGAGAACGACAACATTATCCTCGGAGCCGAGCCGAATGAGGAACAGCAAGTGATTCCAGAGCCAGAAGTTGAGCAGGAAAAGGAGGAAACTCCAGTGGAAGCAGCTGAAGTTCAGGAGGATGATGCACCAGCTCATCCGGAAGAGGAAGAGGGGGAACCGAAACCGGAAGTGGACTACACCAGCATTGAGCATCTGCAGGAACTTCCGCAGCCGGAAGAAACCACTGCCGCCATCGAAGCGGAAGAATCCGACCCAGCGGAGTCCACCTTGGCTCCGGAAGATCCGGAGGCAGCCAGTTCCATTGTGAGCGAGGAGCATGACCTGGAGAAGGATCCCCAGAACTTCCACGAGAGCGAGAGCATTGCCGACATCCTCAGCGACTTGATGTTGGAGGGCGACAGCACCGTTCCCCCGGTTCCATTTGGCCAGCAACCCGCCCAAACTGTTCCCATGGTGGAGGCCAACTCTGAAAACGAGGAGGAACAACCCCACGAAGCCATCTCTGATCTTCAGGCCGAAGCGGATGAGACCCAAGATCATGTGGAAGTCCAGCCAGCAGAGGAATCCCAGCCAGCTATTCCCGAACTCTTTGCAGAGGCGGCTAATGATGAGGAGCAGGAGGATGAAGAGCAGCAGGTGACCCCCATTCCGGAGCAGTCTGTAGTGGATCAACCCACACAGGAGGAGCAGCAACCTATTAAAGAGGAGCAACCGAAAATTGAAGAGGAGCACAAAGAAGTTGAAGAGGAGCATCTCCAAAATGAAGAGGAGCAGCATCACGAAGAAGAGCAACAGGATGAAGCGGAGATCCCTAAAGAAGAAGAACCCCTGAAGGAAGTGGAAACAGAATCCCTGCCAGAAGAAGCCACCACGGAGAAGGTATTGGAGTCCGAACCCGAAGAGGAGCGCACTCTTTCGCCCGAGGAAATGCCCTTCGACATGTCCGAATCCGATGGCATCCGTTTCAATGAGCTGGAGTCCGACAACCTGATCCTGGAGTCCACCACCAATGTTGATGGTCTGCAAGAGCTGGACAGCAACCACATTGAGGAGGAGCCCGCTGCCCACGCCATTCCGCACGAGGAAGCCACTCCGAATCCCGCCGACATCGTGGAGATCACCACTCAAACCATGTTGGGATTGGCCAGTCGGGTGACCCTTATGGAACCCGCTGCTCCAGTGGTCACCACTCTGATGCCCCTGATGACCGCCGATGAACCCACTCCGGAACCAGCTGCTCCCGCTGCCATTCCTCCTGCATCTTTGGCGGCCATTAAACCAGGATCGGAACTGCGCAAGCGCGTGGACTTGGGTCTGGAGGCTGTCTCCCTGGGATTGGCCTGCAGCAGTGATCGCCAGTGCCAGCTGGCCGATCCCCACACCGTCTGCAATGTCCGCGGAGTCTGCGACTGCGCCGCCGGAGAGCCAGGAACGCAGTGCAGCGCCGAGAGAACCGGATGCAGTCCCGGAACCTTCCAGGTGAGTCACTACTAAAAGGAAAAAATTAAGAAGTATAAAATGCAGAAAACTTCTTTTAAAACAAAGATTTTAAAGTTATAACTTGCAATCAAAATTAAACAAAAGTTAAATGCTAAACTCAAGAACCCAAGAAATATAATAAATAATATTTAGTTCGAATAAAAAACAAGTTAAATAAATATCATTCATAGACAACAAGAAGATACAAAAAGAAAACAAGCTTAGAAAATCAATTAACAATGCATAATGCAAGAAAAAAATCTTTTTAAAAATTTAAATTTTAAATATGTATGTAACGTGAAAATCCCCATTATCAGTTTGATAACGATATATAATTCTAAAGAATACAGAATTAATTTAAATTTATAATTGACTAAAAAGTGTGAATCACTTAACTCTTTGAAGTAGTTTTCTCTTAGTATTTTCCACATTTAAAAAAAATAATCTAAAATTTGTATTTACCTTTCAGTGCCGTTCGAGCGGCGTGTGCATCTCGTGGTTCTTCGTGTGCGACGGGCGGGCGGACTGCAACGACGCCTCCGACGAGGAGTGCACCCACAACGCCCGCCTGAACCAGAGCTGCCCCGCCGAGTCGTTCCGCTGCCAGCGGAGCGGTCGCTGCATCTCGCGAGCGGCCCTCTGCGACGGACGGCGGCAGTGTCTGCATGGAGAGGACGAGATGGGCTGCGACGGCAGCCTGCGGGGCGGGAACGCCTGTCCGGAGCACACCTTCCGCTGCGGCAGCGGCGAGTGCCTGCCGGAGTACGAGTACTGCAACGCGATCGTCTCCTGCAAGGACGGCAGCGACGAGCCGCCGCACCTGTGCGGCTCCCGCGCCCTCCCCAACCTCTTTATGCGCCTCATCGAGGCGGGCGGACTCCTCGGCGGCGGACGGAGGGAGGGGGCGGACGCCTACTGCCCGCACCGCTGCAGCAACGGACTCTGCCGCTCCACCGCCATCGTCTGCTCCGGACGCGACGGATGCGGCGACGGCACCGACGAGCAGACCTGCGCCGTTTGCCGTAAGTATCCCTTTCAAAAAATTATATTCGCCACATTTTTTCTTTCCTTAGATATTAATTTACAATTCAAAAACTTTCTTCCTAGATCGTTTATTAACTTTAAAATGTAATACTGAAATTTAAATGGTTTATTATTGAATTTAAAAAATATTTTAAAGTCACAAATTATATGATATGTGTTTTTGATATAATGATAAATCATTCTTAATAACCCTCAATTAAATATATATTATATTATAATATAATTCCTTTGATTTGTTTAAAGTTTCAAGATTCAAAATTGTAACACTACAGATTCCCATTTAAATGAAATAATTATATGTATCACATTTATTTATCATATCATATCATATCATATTTATTTTAAGTCCACAACCGATATCTTATTAATGATTTCTCTCTTTTCTTAACCACTCCAGGTTGTCCCGCTCCGACTGCCGCCAACCTGCCCACTTTCCTGGCCCGACAACGCCCCATGCCACTGTGGTAGGAAACTGCACCGCCGGGTGGGTCACCGCCCATCCACCAACCGAACCACTTTCGGTCACCATAGAGAGACCAATATTTTGCCAGACACTGTCTTCCGACCCCGCAACTCTATCGCTGTACCCAACTATATTCGAAACGATTTTTGCATAGCATTTAAGTGGATATTTAAAAACAAATTATTTATTTATTTATTTATTATGACCTTAGCTGCGCCCATGCCACGCCCAATTGCCACCTTGCTATCAAAGGCGGTTTCTTCGGCCCCCTTTGAGCCAGTGATGATTGTCAATTGCGCCACTGGGCGCAACCCTAAACCACATATGACACCACACACCACAAAAGACACACCACCACACCACCCACACTTCGCCCCCATTTCGACTATTTATTCTACTCATCTTGACCATCAAAAACTATTTATTTATACCCCCCACAAACACTTCGCCCCGAAGGAGACACTAAAACACATTTAGCTTAGTTTTATGCAATTTTCTAATTTATTTAAATTATTGGCCAGGCAAACCAGTGAAGGATCGCATAACGAGAACCATTAAATGATGCATTTCTATCGAATAATATTTTGTAAATAAGAGTAAACGATGTACATGATAAACAGCATTGCCTATAAAGATACGTAGGGTATCCGAGATAATAAAATCAGATCATATCCCCTATATAGTTTATTATATGTACGTGAGTGTGAATGGAACTCACACACTTTTCTCAAAGTCAAGACGCATCACAGTAAAGCTAACAAAAATAATTTTAAAAAAAGGAATGACAATAAAAAATCTATTTTTAGAAAACTATTGAATAAAATAATCATTGTTGTTTTTTATTTGTTAGGAGATTTATGGGATTTATTTTTATTTATAAATAATCTAAAATAAATAATTGGTTACCAAAATATTGCCTTATTTTTACGATATCGGTTTTACTCAAAATCCGTCCCGTTGCATATGTAATACCTACATATTTATATAAAATCACCAATTCAGGAGGAAACCAGAGAATCAGTGCATTTTTCACGAAAATTAGGAAATCAGTTCCGAAGGTCAAAATCAGGGAATTACCTGACAAATCAGGGAATATTGTAACCTACTTATTCTACACTAACTTTCTAAGTTTCATTCATAATCTGGTACAAAACATTAATTACTATCAGTTCAGTATCAGCTATTTTTAATCAAACGGAAATACGCTTTGCGAATGGTCACCGCGATAATTGAGCTTTGATTTAGGACTGCACTCGGTCAATAATCTCAGTCGATTATCAAAAACAGAGTTTTACGATCCATGCAGGTATAAAAGACCCGCTGGAACCATTCAAGTCCAAGTTGTTTCTGCAACATGAAGGTGTTCATTACTATTCTGGCTTTGGCTGTGGCCTCCGCCTCGGCCTACGAGACCGTCATCCGCCCCAAGGACATTCCGAAGGTGAAGCGGATCGAGGGTCGCATCACCAACGGCTACCCGGCGGAGGAGGGCAAGGCTCCCTACACCGTGGGCCTGGGCTTCAGCGGCGGCTGGTGGTGCGGTGGCTCCATCATCGCCAACGACTGGGTCCTCACCGCCGAGCACTGCATCGGAGACGCCGGCTCTGTGACCGTCTACTTCGGCGCCACCTGGCGCACCAACGCCCAGTTCACCCACACCGTTGGCAACGGCAACTTCATCAAGCACGGATCCGCCGACATCGCTCTGATCCGCATCCCGCACGTCGACTTCTGGCACATGGTCAACAAGGTGGAGCTGCCGAGCTACAACGATCGCTACAACGACTACAACGAGTGGTGGGCAGTGGCCTGCGGCTGGGGAGGCACCTACGACGGAAGCCCCCTGCCCGACTACATGCAGTGCGCCGACCTCCAGATCATCCACAACAGCGAGTGCGCCAGCTACTACGGAACCGGCACCGTGGGCGACAACATCATCTGCATCCGCGTGGTCGACGGCAAGGGAACCTGCGGCGGAGACTCCGGCGGTCCCCTGGTCACCCACGACGGCGGCAAGCTGGTGGGAGTCACCAACTGGGTGTCCTCCGCCGGTTGCCAGGCCGGTCACCCCGCTGGCTTCCAGCGTGTGACCTACCACCTGGACTGGATCCGCGACCACACCGGAGTGGCCTACTACTAATCTTTGACGAACTACTAAATAAATCAATTTGAAGCGCAAATTTTATGTTATTTTTTACTACACTGAAGGGGAAGTATTTAAAGTGACTTTGCAATCTTTTGGGTATAAAAATGCATATTATGTACCTACCATTAATGCAGAATGAGAATTATACGTTATTTAAATCATGCAATTCTAACTTTGCAATGGAACTTAGCACAGTTTAAACATTATCAGAACAGATAGAAACCAATCTTTTTATGGACTTTATAACTAGATGGCTATTCACCTAAAGAAAAATATAAGTAAAGTGAGGGATTTAATGAAAAAGAAATATAATTGTTTTACAAACTTAAATAATATTGTTCGCTTACTGTTTATTAAACCCAAAAATGTTTTTTTTATTTTTTTGGAAAAAGTGTTTTCAAGAATAACTGACTTTACCTTTGAAGAAATCAGCAATATGTTTGTTCTTCTTCTTAAAAAAAAATGTTTAATGACTTTACTATTAGTCAGTATGAATTGTTTGATGTTAATACATAACAGGTTATTAATATAAGATAATTTTTGCTCCATTCAAAAAAATAGGTTACCTGAGCCATTCAAAATAAAATTTTACCCCTTTAATTTGCAATTCAAAACTTTTTATTCAATTAATGGCTTCATTTTTCCATGGATTTAGTAGTAGGCAACACCGGTGTGGTCGCGGATCCAGTCCAGGTGGTAGGTGACACGCTGGAATCCAGCAGGAGCACCCGACTGGCAGCCGGCGACGGATCCAAAGTTGGTCACTCCCACGAGCTTGGTGCCGTCATGGGTGACCAAGGGGCCACCGGAGTCGCCACCGCAGGTGGACTTGCCATCGGGAGTGCGCACGCAGATGATGTTATCGCCCACAGTGGCGGTTCCGTAGTATCCGGAGCACTCGGAGTTGTGGATGATCTGAAGGTCCACGCACTGCATGTAGTCGGGCAGGGGGCTTCCGTCGTAGGTGCCTCCCCAGCCGCAGGCCACTGCCCACCACTCGTTGTAGTCGTTGTAGCGATCGTTGTAGCTCGGCAGCTCCACCTTGTTGACCATGTGCCAGAAGTCCACGTGCGGGATGCGGATCAGAGCGATGTCGGCGGATCCGTGCTTGATGAAGTTGCCGTTGCCAACGGTGTGGGTGAACTGGGCGTTGGTGCGCCAGGTGGCGCCGAAGTAGACGGTCACGGAGCCGGCGTCTCCGATGCAGTGCTCGGCGGTGAGCACCCAGTCGTGGGCGATGATGGAGCCACCGCACCACCAGCCGCCGCTGAAGCCCAGGCCCACGGTGTAGGGAGCCTTGCCCTCCTCCGCCGGGTAGCCGTTGGTGATGCGACCCTGGATGTCCTTGGTGTTGGTCCTTGCAGAGAATCCCGGCATGGCGGCAGCGGAGGCCGAGGCCACGGCCAAGGCCAAAATAGCTACGAACACTTTCATGTTGCTGAAACAACTTGGAGTTTGGTGTCCGCCCACCGCGCATTTATACCTGGATCGTATCTGCGGAAATGACCAAGTCTGGGTCATATATAATCACCGCCAAATCGTCGGATAGTGAACAAATTGTTAATATATGGCCCAAGAACAAGCAACCAGAAAGATTATGAATGGCGCCTTCTCAAATTATAAACAAAACAAGAAAGAAATTTTTTCTATGGCAGTTTAATGAATTATCTTCCGATGTTAACAAAAGTCTAGTTTGTAATTCAAGAGAAAACTCAATGTTACAAAAATCATGCTCATTCTTTTTTATTACAGGAGTCGTTTTAAAACTATATATAAAAAATCATGGTTATGTGATAAAAAAAAAAAACGAAGTTACATTCATTTTAAATAGATTACATATTATAATGGTCCGATTTTTATGAAATTTAAGACACTTGACAAAACGTTAAAGAACGGTATTTTGCTATGTTGTTATGTCTCTTTATCTATGGCTTTATAAATTAGTGAATGGTGCAATACATTCATTTGTATATACTTTATGATGTTGGATGTGTCTTCTTCAGTGCGACGCTTACATCTGACTAAAATTATAATACCCTCTGCAAGGGTTATAAAATATCTACATCTAGAATATCTAATCTTAAAATATTTCATTTTTTCCCCTTTATTAGTCGTATAAAATACGGTTGTCCCCGCACTCGACTCCAACCAGGTTAGGCTCTTCGTCCTCACTTTCCTCGCTCGCTTCCTGCGATCTGGCTTTTGGCTTCGCATAACCTAAATCCTGCAGGAAGCGAATCAATCGGGACTTTGCCTTCTGCTGGTGGTCATCAACCTTATTAATCATATCGTAGTTGGGCTTGAGGAAGCGGTACTCGCCGAAGGCCAATGGACAGTAGCGAGCTATCTCCTTAGTGGCGCTAATATACACCGTGCGCCCGCGGATGTAATGGCGCAGACTCCTGCAAGGAAACTCCAGAGTCAGAACGAACTGCTGTATCAGATTCGAGGACTTGGAGGTACCCCTGAAGAATATCTGTGGTTCCTGCAGGAAACAACTGTACTCTTGATCATCGTCTGGTAGGAACACCTGCAGCTCCAACGTACTAATGGTCTGATAGTAGGTCACCGGCGGACGTACAACATTGAGTGGTAGTTCAATCTCCATCTGGAAATGGTTAGATAGTTCTTTAGCTGGTTTGCCAGCACTTGCCCTATTATTCTTCTTGGGTTTCCGTTTGATACTACGGGTCTTAGTGCTCAAGACCTGCTTGAGAAATTCAACTGGATCGTTGGAGTTTTGATCGGATTCTTTTGGCTGCTCCTTCTTATCTTCCAGCTGAAGGAGGGCGCACTTCCTCACACACTCGTACAGATGGGCCACCTGATTATTCTCGGAGTTAGCCCCGGTGTTTTCCTTTCTCCTGACGGAGAGGTTCGTCATCTTATCAGAGAGCTCCTCTCCAATTCCAGACCCGGCTCCGCGCTGTATCCGCTGTAAATCGTTCTCCCTGCCCATCTCGAGAGCCAACTTCACCAGTCGTTGACATCTGCCACTCAAGACGGGCTTGCTCTGCAACGTGCACAGTGCTAGGCACTCTTCCTTCAACTTATTTTTCACCTCATTCTCCTCTAGCAGGTTTTCTTCTTCTTTAACATCAATTAACACCTCCTTGAAGAAATCCCTAATCCCTTCGGTCGCTTGCACACATCTTTTGGCCAAGCTGATGTCTATCAGCTTCTTTGCGAGACACAAATACCGCAGATGCAGCTTGATTTGGTTGGCGAACACGATGGCCACCAGATCCCGAACGAAGAGAGTGCCAGCGGCGGCGAACTCGATTTTGGCCTGAAGGAAGTGATCCTTGGGCAACTGAGACAGCATGTACCTGACATCCCGCTTACTCTCTGCGGTCCAGCTGCGCTCCCCAGAATGAGGCACCAGGCCGAAAAGCCGGAGATCACAGGCCAACGGCGGCTCCCGCTGCACTGCCTCCGGGCAGTCGAAGAGTTGGCCACAAGTGGTGACGGTGATGCGCGTGTCCACATCCAGGCCTTGAACCTCCACCGACAAATCGGATTGGACCACTTGAAGGTTTTCTATGGTCGCTACTTTCAGCACGCGAACCCTTTCCTTGGTGAACTTGCTGTGGTACATGCAGATGTCCCCGACCACCGGAGGCCAGTGGCGTCGGGGATCCTGCTCCTGCACTAACTGCATGCGCATTTGCTGCACTGCAGCATTGGGCAGCAGCTGCCAGGTGCCGTTTGGAGGCATGTGCTCCAGTAGCCGGACACAAAAGTGTGTTGGCGAGTAGACCTGGACCAATTGGAGCTTGACGTCTCCGGACGCGGGCATATAATCCGGACACCTGTCCGAAGCCGATAAGTGATGGCGATCCTTGCAGACGGGCTTATAGCATTTGCCCACCGTTAGGATCTGGCTGCAGAGGGTCACCTTTTCGTTATTGGCATTGTCCATCTCCTGCCTCACGCGCTTGGCCACCGCCAACACGGCGGGGTCCACCACTTGGTGGACCTGAAGAAAGTCCACAAGACGTGGCAGTTCCCGGTGATTGTTGTCGTCGAGGAGCACCAGCGATTGCAGTTGCCTTTTTAAGGGACTTGCCGAGGAAGCGAGGTGGTTGCTTAGGTTCTCGGACAGCACGAGGTGCCTCAGTTTGAACTGGCTCCACGATCTGCTCATGCTGTAGTGGATCAAGGTGTGCGCGTCCCGGATGATCAGCTCCGGGCAGCTATCGGAGCACAGCAGGATCGCGCCGCAGTTATTTGCCTGCCAGCTCAGCACCCTCTCGTGCACCGTCACTCCCGAGGTCTGGAAGTAGCGTAGGCAGTCGTAGCCCTGATCCTCCAGAGCCACCGCTAGGTGCTGAATGTCCGTGTCATTGGTGCAGAAGATCACCGTGCGGAAATCTTTCGGCGGACACTGCTGTAGCGTTTTGACCACCGCCCTGCTTTTGGCCGAAGAGCAGGAAATGGAAATCCGTATGCGAGTTCCGCCGTATAGAGCTGCCTCCAGGATGTCACCGAACACAAGAGCCGGGTCATCGTTAACTGCTTTCAATTCGGCCATTAGCTTGGGTCTGTACTGCTGGGAAACCATCACCACCTGCGGGTGGTTTGTGAGGGGAAGAATCTCCTGAATAACCTGTTGTGCACCAGTTAGCTGCTCTTCGGACATCAGGTCCACGTCGTCATAAACTAGAAACCGGAGGCGTGGAAAGCGCATCAGGCCGGGATGCTCCTGCCAGAACCAGGCCAGCTGCGCAGGAGTGGCCACCAGGCAGCCCACTCCGTTGAGGAGCCTCAGGAAGAACTCCGAGCTCTTGGTCGTGGATACATTAAGGGTGAGTGTGAACCAATCCTCCTTCTTTGTATTGCGCAGCAGGGCGTGGCACAGGGCGCTCACCTGGAGAACGCGCTGCAAATCGGGGACCACAATCAAGGCTCTGGGGCCGTACTCATCAGGTTGCCAGGCCCCTGTCTCTAGAAACCCGAGAGGGTTAGTGTTCTCCTTAAGGTCCTCGCAAACAGCATGGCAAACGACTGGTAAGTACGATAACGTGCGCCCACAGCATGGAGACCCAACGATCATCGCCCCTCTGCCCGCTCCTTTGACCAAATGCGGCCAAGTGTAGCTCTGCAGGCGGAGCAGTTTGTTCAGGCCCAGCTTATGCATCGATTCCAGGATGTGCGGCAGCAGGCAGACCTCGCCGAAATTGCGGACGGGACGCAGAGGGTACCTTCCGTGCGCCACCACATACTCGGAGCAGATGGTTCCCTTTAGTGGTCGCAGTACACAGTCGACTCCCTCGTAGTTGATACCCTCCCCGCTGGCAGTGCTGCTGTTGGTGATCCTCTCCCAGGTGTCTTTAAAGTTGTCCATTATTTTCGACAGTTTGTCATCGCAAATACATCCCATTTTGGAGGACTGGAAATCGAAAACGTAGTTAAGTTGGCAGCGCTTGCATTTTATAAGCTATTCTAATTTTACATACATATACATATGTACATATTTATAACCCACTCGTCGGCTATATCACCACTGAAAAAGAACCCAACCGCTAATTGATTAAGCTTTAAAATGTGTATACAGTATCAAAAGAAGTGATACGCAAATTTAAGAGTTTTTAGAATAGTCAGATTTAGTGTTATGATACCTATAAATATTAATAAAATCGTACTTATCAGCGAATCGCCTGTGAACGTCAGTAAAGTTTCATTTAAAGATAAGATTAACCATTATAACCAATTAACCATTATAACCAATTAACCATTATAACCAATTAACCATTATAATTATTTAAAGATTAGCAGCTTGTTTTATTGTTTGTTGAAAGAACAGGGAACCGGATACCGTTCATCCAGCATTTCGTCTATCCGGTCATCCGTCAATCCGTCCATCCCTCCAGACGTCAATTTTCCAATCTGTACATTCTATCCGACCATCCGTCAATCATATTTTAACCTATGTATTAGAAATCAGACTTTGCACTAATATTATTATTTGGTAAAAGTAATAAATATTTTTACAATAAGAAATTAAGGTGGGAACTTCTCATTAAAAATGTTTTTTTGTTTACCGAACGACATCCGAGTATTTATCAGCTGACTGAAAATATACCGTTTTTTTTTTTTCAAGGTCGATATTTATTGTAGTTCCTTATTCGGTACCTCGTCAGTTGTCAACAATAGAAAAAAGTTATCGTGGTGTAAATTGTGTTTATTTATAATTTATAATGGATTTAAATCCTTAAAATGTGGCTCATAAAAAAATCTGCAGTTCAATATTTAATCTAAACACTATGTTTAAAACCAAATTTAATCAAGAGTCTTATCTGATTTTATTTTGCTACTTTCCATACATTGTTTTCTCCTTTGTTTTGCTAAAGCTTTAAGTTGTGGCGACCTTGCCTGCGGCTAAACAAAGACACTTGGCAAAAATTCCAACCACCCACTAGCCCCCAAAATTTTTTCGCCTGGATCCAACAAGTGTGTGTGGTAGAGGGGGGAGGGGCTGATGGCTGGTTACTGGGGGCTGGGCGAGGAAACTTAAAGGGAGAGCGTGCAAAATACCGACGCAGCACGTGCCAAAAGTGGCTCCAAAGCGACGAACTGCGCAAACTCAGTGAGTGTCAAACTGTGCATCGGGCAATTGGCAAATAAACATTGCATGCTTTCAGGCGCCACTTGCGAATGTGCAACGCATCGCGTGTTTCTGTTGTAATTGCACTTGAAGAAATTATACATTTTAAAGTCAAGTAATCATAAAACAATAAAGCTACTACATTGGGCGTTATAAACCTTGTTCACACATGACATCACTCGAAAATAGATCGATATTTTCCCTGTATCAGTCACTTTAAAATTACTTAGGGCGTGCCAACGAAATCTCCTGCGGTATGCAAACTCTTTAAGGAAAGGTGTCTCAAAATTTTACAAAAACTTTTTACTTACCAAAAATTTGAAAAAAAAAAAAATTATTTGTAGTTTATAAAATTTTTACAAACAAAAGTATTACCACTTTCTTAACTCAAAGCTAATCAGCCTTTTTTATAAATTAACCTTCATGTTTTCTGGGAATTCCACAAGACCTAAAGATAGTGTTTGCTGTCAAGCACTTCTAAGAATTATTTTTAATTGTCCCCAAAATCAAACATCTCTTTACATTTGTTGGATTGAAAATTAATTTAATTCACTCGACACACATACAATATATGTTGTTTCCTCCATGCCAGAGATATGGAGTTGTTATCAATATCGTTAGCAACACAATGTGGTAACTCTTTAATGTTATCTTAAATTATGTTATTTTATTTTTCTATCAAAAAACATATGGAAGCCAAATAGTTTTTAAAAGTTTTATTGTGAAAATCTTAAACACTATATGATATATAGTATGAAACATTAACCATGTTGCAAATTTATCAAAAAACCTTCTACAAAAAATGTATTAAACTTGGGGTTAAATTTCATATTTATACATATTATTAACTTAGGTGAAATAATTATTTACCTACATATTCACTAAACACAAATTCACAAGACCGTTTAAATGCTTTAAACTGAAAATTTCTTTCAGTGTTTCAGCGTGTTGTTGCCGCCCAGAGAGGGTGTAAAAAAATCTCACATCGGCAGCGGTTCGTCGTCACTCGTCCGAGGTCTCCGTTCGCTGGCAGTTGAACAGCCGCTCAGTCGTCTCCTATTATCCTTCTCGTTGGCAAGGACCTGTGTCGCAATCGCGCATCGTCCGTTCGTGTGGAGGAATTGCAAATCGGAGTGCAAATATTTGGCTATTTGCTGCAATCAATCGGAAAGTGATTGTGGTGATGAGTCCAAGTGAGTAGTGGTCCAAAAATTCCTGGCGATTCATCCTGGCGCAAGCTGGGTGTTCACAAATTCCCAGATTGTTCGGAAAAGTTTGTACTGCTCTCGCGTGTCGATGTGTGTGTATCCGTGTGCGTCCTTTTGTATCTGTGTATCTGGCAGTTGTATCTGTATCTGTAGGCGATGTGCTCGACAAAACGATTGCAATTTTACGCTGACGCTGCAACAGAAGCAGTTCGCTTCAATGGAACTTGACATAGTACACCGTCCACCGCCCACCGCCCCCTAAACCCTCCGGGGTATAGCCATATATATATATATGTAAATACACATACACGAGTGTGTGTTGTTTTTACCACCGCAAAGTGTCCTCGACACACTCTCACACATCCGTTGAGTATCCTGCACCGGAACCCCCAGCCTTCAAACATTCCCCCAGCTGAATTTCCATCATTATATCTTTTATATATACTGCCTTTTCAAGCGGCTCCCTCAAGTGCATTTGCCATTAAAATTCAATGCATTATCTAGATGCATGGCTATTCATGAAAAGCCACGCCAAAACGTTGTCACTTTGAAATGACAGACTTTGTCGATTCCCCGCTAATTCATTATCACCCTACTAAGCCGCTCAAATCGAGCAATTCAATTCAATTAGATTAGGACCGCTAAATACAACGACGCCTCTGCTATAAATATTCAAAAAAAATGGGGCATCATGGAAATCGGATATTCTGCCTTCAAATTCACTTTCGTTGCCTTTATATTTGCATGAATAGATTTTTGGTTCGCTCTTTAGCCAGCAAGACATTTTATCCCTGGCTTCCTGTTTATGAACAATACAATTTTAGTGGATATCTCGTTTTGAAGCATACACAAAAATGGGGGCGACTGTGCCTATCGCAACCCGCATATCTCGGTCCCCAGACCCAAGTATTTATTATTTACTTTTCTCTGTTTTAGAACCTACAAATCAGTTTTACATAATTATAAATATTTAAAGAAACTAACAAGATTGTTTCGTAAAAATCTTTAGACAAAAAAATAATTTTCGAATGCTTACAAGAGTTTGCCCTATGCTGATCTACCTTTGATCCCCCATTACTAGGTAGTAAAATCGTATAATTATTTTTACACATCTGTGAAAACGTGTGGTCAACTTACACAACAAAAATCTAATCAATGTTGGTTACACGAAAATGCAAAAAGTGAAAACTAATGACCCTCGAACGGCGTCGTGATCGATGAAAAAATGCCGGCGAGGCGAAGATCCATCACCAGCATCTGTTTTCCCCCATTCAGATTCCCAGAGACCCCCAATACCTATTTCTACGTTTGGTTCCGTCTCATTCGCGAAATTGCCGTCATCGTGTTCGGACCGCTGAAAAAACAATAAGCAAAACGCCGGTACAATTTAATTTGGCAGTCGTTGCATTAATTAAACTCAAAATAAAAAGAACCCCGTCGACCTCTTCAATGGGCCCTGCCAAGGTTGGCCAAATCGAATGTTATTTATAAATGCACTTGGTTTGGCTAAGAAACACTTTGTCGTCAAGCATTTAATAAGTAAAGAAAATCCCCTCGCTTTAAATATGATCGATGGACTTAAATAGAAAAACTATTTGCTTGTGTGCAATAAACTATCGTTTATTGACCCGAAAACCAACGTGTGAAACCTGTCGGTAAATCGCAAATATTTGTTAAATGTTAGAACCTACAAGTCTAAAAATAAATATATATGTAGACAAAAATTCTATTGAACATAAACTATATATATAAAAATTGTGTATTAAAAATCGTTGGCAAGGTAAATGTCGTAATCAATCAGTGCCAATAATCTAAACGTAACAAAAACAAAAAACATAAAAGACTTTTTATAAAAATCAGCGTGGAAATTTATTTTTCCGCGAATTGACAATAAGAATCTCATCCGACCTATCAAATTCACTTTTGCAAGTTATGCACTTTATTTGTTCGTTGTGTATAAAGAAAAACGAGACAGGAAATCAACATCGGCAAAGAAAAGTTTATGTACACTTGCAGTTCAATCGAAAATTGTTAAATATAGTTTTTTTCTAATAGTTAGGTACAATTTTAATAAAGAAAACTTTAAAACAAAGGTTACAAATTTTTTAAATAAAATTCATCTGTGACATGTCAAATAATTTTGCTGAAAATTGTATTCTGTTATTTTATTATTCTGTTAAAAAATTTAATTTACCCTGTGAAAGAGTGCAAAACACGACGTTAACTGACCTTTAAAGTGAGCAAAAAATAAGCTATCAAAAAACATTTGCATTTGTCAACTGCTTCTTACCGATGTGCTTTCAATTTCAGTTGCGGAATAGACAATAATACAACAATAAACTAAGAACCACTGCAATAAGCAATTCAAAGGTAAGAACTCTGTTTACACACAAAACTTTATAATTAATGACTTATTTCCATTTTACTTTACGTTAGTCATAAAAACTGTTTTAAAAGGTTAAAATTCTTTCAGTTGATAAAGCATAATTAGTTCACTTGTTTTTTAAAGTTACTCTAAACCTGGATAGATATTTTCAGGCCATAAAAAACCTCAGCAATAACTAGAAATATTTTGTTATAGCTTTTTGTAGCCCTTACAATAAAGCAGCCTTTTCTATAAATGTCCATTACCTACCCCAAAATACCAGAAACGCATTTAATCACTTTAATCAGTTTTAATTTTGGTAAATTAAATTTTCAGTTGTCCCATTTAAATCAATTGAATTGCTTCGGACTAACTAAGTATAAACCTAATCTATGACTATGAACAGCCGAGAGGTTAAATGACATGGCAGAGAAACGCCTTCTGCTGGAGCCATCCGACCTCACAGAGACGGAGGAGCTGGAAGTACAAATGACCCGACGGAGCGGAGGAGGAGTCCTCCATGCCATCCAGCATCGGACGCTTCCGGTGAGCCGGAAATCGGTGTTCTGGTTGCTGGTGTCCTTCCTGTTCTGCTACTTCCTGATCGGGCGACCCGAGTGGGCGAATGTCCTCGATCTGGACGTCCTCCACTCGGACAACTACATCACGGTCCAGCATCAGTCCACTGTGATGGATGGTGAGTCCACGTTGGTAACTAGATGTGCGTTTCTCCACGTTTTGTTTTGCATGCCCACCTTTATGATTTCCTTTCCTCTCCCTACGTTCCGTTTGTGTTTGCACAGTTGATCCCGACACACATAATGAGAGTATTCCGTTTGTGCCGAAAGGCTTCCTGGTGTATAGCAACTCCTGCCGGATCATGGAGGTGGATCCCTACAAGAACGAGGTGATGCGCCACTTCAAGCGAATCAAATACAAGGCCTGTCAGAAGCTGCCGCCCCTAACGCAGGTGAAGTTCCTCGAGAAGTCCCAAAAGTATCTCCTCAGCATCGATGGAGATGCCTTCAGTCGATATCCGGCGAACAATCACCTCCACTGCTGCTATATGGAGATCCAGCGGGTCAACGAAATGAAGGTGAAAAACACCAAGTGCCAAACGTTCAAGAAGAGCGTAGAACTGCCCAATTCAGCAGAGGCCATCATCGTGAAGTGCGATTCCGGCGGACGGCAGATCTACATTAATGGGCATGCCACCATTCCCGTCAAGGAGGCAGTGCAGCAGAGACTCCAACAGGCAGCTGAAGAGGATGCGAGGAAAGAGGATGAACCCCGAAAACGACCTCCAAGCGTTTTGATGCTCGGCATCGATAGTATTTCCCGGGTGAATCTCATCCGGGCCATGCCGAAAACCGCCCAGTATCTGTACGACAACGGATGGTTCGAGCTGGCGGGTTACAATAAGGTAAGATAAGATAGAGACCCCAAAAAGAATTTCCAATTAAAAAAAGTATTAACATCACCTTACGCTTTGTAAAACTGTGGTGTATATCGTATAACATAATCTAAAAGGTTGAGTTCGGTTTAGTAAAGAGATATTTGTTGGAATCAACCACTCATAGATCTCCTCCCTCTGATCAGGTGGACGACAATACATTCCCGAACATCATGGCAGTGGCCACCGGCTACAATCTGCACAACGCGATGCAGGCGTGCTCGCCCTTCGTGGTCGGTGGCCTGGACAAGTGCAACTACGTTTGGAAGCTGTTCCAGCAGAAGGGATATGTCACGGCCTACGCAGAAGATGCAGTGAAGATCAACACGTTCAACTACCTGAAGAAGGGCTTCAAGAATCCGCCGGCGGATTACTACTTGCGACCGTATCTCTCCGCTGCCGAAACGCAGCTGGATCACACGACGGTCAACGGTCTGGTGCACTGCCTCGGCTACGAAACGGCGGCGGAGCATGTCTACGACTACGGGTTGGAGTTCACCAGAAGATACCTGAACGACACATACTTCGGCTTCTTCTGGACAAACACGCACAGCCACAGTGATATCTCGCAGACGAGCAGCATGGATGACTATATGGCGGAGTATCTGCGGAAACTGGTGCGCCAGGGCACGATGGACAACAGCGTGGTGGTGTTCTTCAGCGATCATGGCATGCGCTTTGGACCGACGCGGGCCACCTGGTCTGGTCACTTGGAGGAACGTCTGCCGGCCATCTTCATTTGGTTGCCGCACCACCTGCGTCGCTCGCATCCGGAGTTTGTGCGTGGCCTCCAGTTGAACAGGAACCGTTTGACCACGCCCTACGATCTCCATCTGACCATGAAGCACATACTCTCGCTGTCTGGCCGCACTGACATGGAATCCCTGGGACCGGCTCCCGATTGTCCGCAGTGCCAGAGCCTGCTGCATCCCGTTTCACCGCTGAGAAGCTGCGCCGATGTGGGCATCGCGGATCACTGGTGCACTTGCTGGGAGTACGACACGATCTCGAGCAGCTCCAAGGAATCGCGGATGCTCGGCAAGCGAGTGGTGAGCTATCTGAACACCTACGTGGCCGAGTTCCGGAACGGAACCTTCGCCAAGCTGTGCGTACCGCTCTCCCTGCACAGCATCAAATCCGCGTTCCGGGCGCATCAGAATGCCCTCGATCCGGAGGAGGTGCACACCTATCGACTGATCTTCGTCACGTCGCCGAACAAGGCCCAGTACGAAGCCACCTTGCGGCACAATCACACGGATGACTCCGTAAAGGTGACGGGATCCGTGAGCAGATTGAACGTCTACAGTGGCGAGGCGGATTGCATGAGTGATTTCGCTGCCAAAAAGTATTGTTACTGCCGGAAAAAGAAGGGATAGAAGCAGTAGATTTAGAACTAAGGCTAGTGCCCAAGTGCCGTTACTCAGATTAGGATCTGATAGTACAACAATTATCTTAAACTTACACTATAGGCATATCTTCCCTTTCTCTCTCTCTCTCTGCCTGAAACTTAAGCTTCTGGGGGTTTAAAAATATTAATTTGGTTCTCTGAAATCAAGGAAAGGAGTCCACATATTATCACATCAAAAGAGAATACAACTCAGTTTATTAAACACTTATTAATACCTTAATTATTATTTAAAGATCTATAGAAGTTTGAGAAACACTTTGTATATTCCATGTTTAGGCTTAGTTGCTATCCTTGTAAATAATTTACTCTCCCAGCTCAAAGAGTCTTTAGCCAATAATTAGTTAAGTCATGTCTTTATGTATAGTTAGTCGGTTAACAACTAATTGTTACACTTATGATTTGATATATGTGTTAAACTTATAGGGATATAAGTTATGATGTTATACTTCAAAAATAATTCTGTTAAAAATAAAATGTCCAGTACTTGAAACATCTATTTAATTTGGCATTAAAATCTAAATATTAAATACGAATGAGATTACGTGTAGTAAAGTTGTCAGTTAAGGTCGGATTTGGCGCAGAACTCCCACGTGCTAGCCTTCTCCTTGAAGCTGTAGTTGCCCAGCAGATTCTTGAACGCTTTGAAAAGCTTAGTCAACGGACTATTGCGCTGAAGTCCGAGGAGATCGCCGGATAGTGGCTGGACATCCAGGCGCAGCTCCTTGTAATCCTCGCTGGCCAGCAGCGAGATGAAACCACGCAGATCGACAGCGTATTGTGGATCACTCACTCGCGTTTTTGTAAACTCAATGGTTTGCTGCAGTTGGTGCGCAAAGAACGACTGACCAGCTCCCCGGTGAAAAGAGCGACCTGTCCAAGTGTCGTACGAGGTGCTGATGAGCCACTTGTAGTACCCCGGCTCCTCGGACTCCTTCAACTCGATATCCAAAGCGTAGAGTTTTGTTAGCACATCCTTGATGGTGTCCACGTAGCAGGCCAACCAGTAGTAGTAAATCGTTCGGACCTCGTCCGTTTTATTGTGGACCATCACTACCGATCGCAAGCACTTAAGATCGTTGGTACTCGGTGTAATCACGTGTGATCGCACGATGGGCGGCGCATTATACAGTCCGACCACATCGACTTTGGTTTCTGTGGGCGACTCAGCGATCGGTTGTTTTGTTTGGACAACTTCTATTTTTTGCTGCTTTCGTGGTGTGATCCTCTCAGCTTTTTTATCCGCTACCAATCTGTCAGACACCAGTTTATCGGCCAAGCCAAACAATAGGTAGTCATATAGCTTCTGTGGCTGCGAAATTAATTCCCGATCGCAGCATGCTTGAGCTGCCAGTACTAGGCATTGTCTGAAATAACACAGACTCGATGGAGCCACTGACTTGGCCACGTTGTGCTGCAACTCGAAGGGATCCTGCACGCACATGGCCCTATACAGCTGAAAAGCTTCCGGCGGCTCACCTGTTGCGTCGTGCATCAGTTGCATTTGCTCGTCGTACTCGGGAAATCCGCCTGGCGTGCCCAGCGTAGTCTCCTTGTCCAGGCAACCGCCCAGGAACGGACTAAGTACACACTTTTCAAAGTTCACAGTGCTGTAGTAGACGAAGAAATTTTTGATTAGCTCCAACGTGGTCATCCGTGCTGGAATCGGCGATGAGAGGTCCAAACTATAGGCGTAGTTAACACCGGAAATATTAATCGGTGGGCAAAGCGACTGCAGCTGCTTCACGGAGGGCAGCAGTTGATGAACTTGCAAGCTTACGATGATCATGGTGACCAGGCAATAGCTAGACATGCTGCCATGGACAATCAATTTAAGTTTCTTAGCCCAAATTTTCAGGAAAAGGCTCAGATCGCGGAGGCGCTCATCGCGGAACATCAGTTCGCCCACAAACCGAGAATTGTATGTGCTATTTGGATTGGAAATATTGATGTCTATGTTGAGTCCTGTTAGCTGATGTTTGCATCGAATGATGGGCACACGTGCGTGACGAATTGTGTAAATATCCGCAAAGCACTTGGAGCGCCGCAAAAAGTATGAGACCTTGTTGTATAGCTGCTTGTGGACCAAGGGAGGCTGCTCACCGCAGGGCTGCAGGTACAAATCTATATCGCTTTCTAAAGAGTAAAAGACACGGATTAGGTGCCTCTCTCTCTGTTGCCGAATACCACTTACCCTTTAAGGCCAAACCAGTGACCAGGGAGCCGAAGGGAAACACCCTAACCCTGCCCTTCATCTCCTTTTCTATGCAATTACGCACATGACCGAAGCAGATTTCCATCTTCCGGAGATCACTAGCGTAGAAATTCAATACCGTGCGCAGGTGGCCACCGGGTGCAGACTTTTCAAGCTCTTCCCGCAGCTCATTGCGCTCGGATTGGGTTTGTGCGCTAGTGAACAACTTGGTGATGGCGTTCAATCGCTGGCGCAGTTGCTTTTGCGGCTTGCTGGCATGCTTTAGCAGTTCATGAGCCAAACAGTCCTGCATACTTTGGAAGGGAGCGGCACATACCATACAAAGAACCAAATTATCTGCGTCATCCCCCCGCGGGCGTGCAACTTCCGTGGCGGGGGCCGGCATTTTCTGCAAAAACACGTTTTAGTTAATGCTCGCTCGACAGCCAGGTTTATTTAAGAGAAAATTATCAGTAAGTGAGTGCCTGCCCTGATTTTCTGTCCACTACACGTAGAAAATACGATTTAGGTATGAGGCCACTGATTCCAGGGCAGAGTATTACATTATTGCTGGAGCGAAAGATGGGTATACCATCCGCTAGAATCTTTTCTACATTTAGATATATCAAAATCTGGCAATCACTACGGAATCCACTTAAGACGCAACTGGTTTTATCGCTGCTAGCGAAGTGCACATGGTTGCGCTTCATTCTATTTAGACCTTGGGTCCTTATCGCTTCCCAATGACGTCGGTAGGTGCCATGGACAGCCAGGGGAATCTGTTCCAATTGAGTGATCCTCTCCAGACCGCCAGTCTCGCTCTCAACCACCGCCAGCGAGTGCCCCTGATTGGCGCGAATCTCATGGACCCCACGATCTGGATTCCAGCGAAGGGTATATCGTTGCTTGGCATCCGCAGATGTAATTTCCTGCAGTTTTTCTAAGGTAAGAGATCTGTATCGCGGGTGCTCCTGCAGATCGGAGACACTAACAAAACCATCTTCGCGAATTGGAATTCCCTCTGTTTTTGCACCGTGCCGCAGCAACCAGGATAACTTCTTGCTTAACTGCACATCGACTTCCCGTCTGGGGGGCATTACATCCACAAAAATAACTTACGTTTTTGCAAAACAATTTGCGTGGGCACCAAAACAATTTTAAGTAGTGTGGCCGTTTCCAGATCCGAACGAACTAATAACCTGATGCGAAAACAACGCATTTCCACTTACGTGCTATAAAATAATCGTAAAATAAGTTGTAACATACCTGGGCGGGCTACTATTTACTTTTATTAGCCCTACTAATAAATTTTTCCTTCCGAACATTCCTTGCACGTTTAAAATTGTTGATTTTACTTGGTATGCACTTTTCAGTTATAAGGGGTCATCATCGACACATTTTTAAAAAACCGTGACTTAGAAGCGCGCGCGAGTTTGAAATGTGACCATTCACCGCGCGATTGAAATGGCTGACTGACATGCATGGGAGAGCAGTACGCGCTTAAATACATTCTACTCTCTTTGATTTCAAAGCTCAGCGTCTCACTCTATCTCTCTCACGCTCACCGTATATTTTTCTCTCTAATTAAGTAATTAATTATATTGTTTTCTTGGCACTCTCTTTTTTAACACATGATCTCTCTCGGGCTTCCACACAAAATCGTTCTCATACGCTCTTTCTCTCTCATGCAGTGCTCTCCCTCTCTCTCGCTCTTAATAAATTAAATAATCATGTTTCTAATTTTAAATTTTAAATCACGGTTACCTGATGCTTCTTCTTGCTCGAACGACATTCCCTGGGAATAAAAGGAATATTGCGTCACTGCATCCGTGGTCACACTAATAAAAGAAATTTATTTGCAATTCAAAATTAGATCAAAATTTCTAGAATATGCGGTTGTTGGTTCTCTATGGGAGTCAAACGGGCACTGCTCAGGATGTGGCGGAGCAGATCTGGAGGGAGTCACACCAACGGGGTTTCCAGGGCCCGGTGCTGCCCTTCGATGAGTTCGATGTGTCCAAACTGATCGATGAGCGCCTCGTGGTGTTTGTAGTGGCCACCACCGGCGATGGAGTGGAGCCGGACAACATGAAACTGGCCTGGCGGTTTCTGCTCAAGCGCAGTTTGCCCGCCCAATCCCTTCAAGGTATGCAGTTCGCCTGTCTTGGCCTCGGCGATTCTAGCTACCCAAAGTTTAACTATGCCGCCAAGAAACTGAGCAAGAGGCTGCAGAATCTGGGCGCTACATCCGTGTGTCCAGTGGGGCTGTGCGATGATCAGCATGACTATGGACATTTGGGCGTTTCGCTTGCCTGGACGAAGGATCTATGGACGGCACTGAAGGGCGTCTCTGGACTGGATGAAAGCAAAGTGTCGGACAGTAACCAAACATTAGGAAAGTGGTTGGTAACAGAGCTTCCTAGAGACTCACAAATTACTCCTTCGGAATCCCTCCACTGGACCCAAAAGCAAACCCCAAAGCTACTCAAAGTCCAGGAAAACCAAAGAACTACAGCGGACAATCACTTTCAGGACGTTCGTTTCCTGCTGCTTCAAAGTCAAAATGAAGATCTCAGTTGGGAACCCGGCGATGTGCTCGACGTTCAGCCTCAAAACAGCGATGAAGCTGTTAAAGCATTCTTTGATCTGATCCGCGAGCATAAACTGAACTTTGATGAAAACACTGTGGTGGAAATAACCAGTGCCCATCCGGATATGCCCCTTCCCAAAGCCTACTCCATTCCTTTAAGCCTCCAGCAAGCGGCCAAATTTGTTTGGGATTTAAGTGCCAAGCCGCGGCAACGATTCCTTGAGGTGCTTGGACAAAACTGCAATGATGAAATGGAAAAGGAGAAGCTAATGGAATTCTGCTCCGCCGAGGGTATAGATGACCTGGTGGCTTACGTGAACAGACCCCGAAGAAAACTACTGGAAGTTCTGGAAGATTTCCGACATGCTACCTCCAGTTTAACTATACAACAGCTCTTTGAAATGATGCCTCTGATCCAACCTCGTAGTTTTTCCATTGCATCGGATGCGTCTTCTCCTACTCTCGATTTACTGGTGGCTGTAGTGGAGTACAAGACAATTATGCATACGCCTCGCCTGGGCTTATGCTCTAATTGGCTAAAAAATCTGCAACCGCAATCAGAGCTTCGTGGATTGGTCAAAAAAGGAACGATGACTTGGCCAAAGGATTTGAGCACACCACTTATAATGGTCGGTCCTGGCACCGGCATTGCTCCTTTCCGTAGTATAATCCAAAACCGATTGCATGCTAAATCAAAGGGTTCATCCATTGGCCCTATGGTTGTATTTTTTGGCTGCCGAAATAAGACTGCCGATTTCCATTTTGAAAAGGACTTTTCCAGCTGGACTGAAACCAACCAAGTGGAAACGTACATTGCCTTCTCGAGGGACCAGGATCACAAGGTCTATGTCCAGCATCTAATCACACAGAACGGTGAACACCTGGCAAAACTGATACAAGACCAAAATGCATTTATCTACGTAGCGGGGAACTCTAACAATATGCCAAAGTCTGTTAGGGAGGCCTTTGTCGAGATTCTCGGTGGCGATGCGGATTATGTGGATTTGATGATCAAACAGCGACGATATCAGGAGGAAACCTGGGCGTAATATCTACTTTATTTGTGAATAGTTCCTATTTGTACAGTTTTGGACGGAAATTATATTGTTGAACTCTAAGGCCACTTCAAAAGTCTTCCAATAACTTTTCAGAGGACGTGTGACAAAAAGGACAGTAACCCTTCTGCAGAACCTGCAACTCAAAGTCCTCGGCATAGAACAGCTAAAAAATGATTTGTTATAAAACTGGTTATAGGATTGGGTTTTAAACTTACCAGCAGACATTGGGGGCAATATGTCACCTGCAGATCAGGCAATATATTGCGATAATAAACATTCCGCACGTTCTTTCCTCTCCGTTTGAGGATCAGCACATGGTTAGGATCTATGGCACGCAGGCCGTTGCGATCCAGGCTTAAGGGCAAGCCACTGGCCACATCCTCGTTAAATGGATCCGAATCCTCGGCGTGTTTTGCAGGAGCCAGCAGCAAACGCTCGGCTTCGGCATCTGAGATATCCACTTCTGGATAAAATTGTACTAACGGTAGTATTTCTAAAAGGTAAATTAAATTGAAATAAAGTTACAAGAAGGCCTTGGTTTCTTACCAAATGAAACAAAAGAGAAAATGTAATCCTGCCTGCAGGTAGGACAGCAATTGCTATTCAAATGTTGACTGTAGTTGGAACACTTGTAGCAAAGGGGCAACAACTCTTCAGGGTCGTTGAAGCCGCTTTTGCAAGCCTTGCTGTTAAGAAAATTGAGCTGAAAATATATACTTTGAATTAAAAAATCTGAGCAAAAAAAAAAGTACTATTACTTACATCAATCTGCTCTTGGACTCCAGCTGGTGGCTTTAGAGACTGCAAACGTTTGTTGATAAGAAGGCACAATTTGTTGGCCTGCAGGAACTTGGCCTGCTTGGCCAGTGCAAAAAGAACCGAACTGAAAGCAAGAATTAATTTTAGATTAATATCTTTTTGTTTCCAGTTTTTTCTTGTAACTTACAACATGCTCACACCTTTGGGCACACCTTTGTGCTCCACTTCGTTGAGAATAAATCGGCTAACGTTAAAAAGACTAACTGGGGAATGGGTTGTGAACGGTTCCTTCATATAGGAGTATATGACGCTGTAGGCATAATAGACCTTGGCAATACGTAAGTGATTTTTGTACTCCGTCAGGTGGTGATCAATTGGATTTTGTTCACTGAGACAGAAAAAACATTAATATTACATAAACGTTTATGCTTAAAAGAGTGTGTAACATACTCCTTGCCATGATAAACATCCAAATATTGCTTGGCCAACAGCCAATAAAAGTAGCTGGCATCCAAATAGCGCTCCTCTACGATGGCCGTGTTGCTCAGCTGCTTTAGCAAACGATTGGCTTCCTTGGTGCGTCCAGCTTTTAAGTAAGCTAAATAAACAAATTTTTTATTCGGTACAAAATGTTGTATAGTAATAATATTATTTACCCTGATGTGCTTCAATAAATTGATCCGTTTCGGCCAGCCACTGACCATGTTGGTAGTGCACTGTGGGCAGGAGCTCTGGCAAAGACTCTGCCAGACGAAAAGCCTCTGGCCAGTCACGTACCTCGATGTGAAGCTGTATTAACATTTTAACATTATTAAGTAAAATAAAATAATCGAAATTTAAGGGTTTATATGTACCTGAACAACTTGAGCCTCATCACCTAGCTTCTTGAAAATCTCAGCAGCCAAAGGAAGAGCTTTGAGAGTCTTCAGATTTTGGGCTACCGACTCCAGGGCATCTCGCTCCGAAAGACTCAATCTACGCCCGATATCAAAAAGCCTGTAAAACGGATATTCATATAAATCAGTATTTCCCAAAGTGTGGGTCGCGACCCACTGGTGGGTCGCGGGTAGATTTTTGCTGGGTACTAATTGTCATATAGATCTTGCAATTTTTTGTGTAGGTGGGTCGCGGTCCCGAAAAGTTTGGGAAACACTGATATAAATTATTCGAAATAAAAATCGAGAATCAACCTACACATCAGCCCAACCCTGCTCAGCAACAATGTCTATAGCTTTCTGGTTTTCTCCAGCAGAAAGTAAAAGTTCGGCGGCGGCACGCGGCTCCTTAACCGAATAGGCCCACTCCGCTCGCTTGCGTACCAATTCCTTCTTCTCCTGCGCGGTGCCATCTTTGATGTACTCCTGGGCCAGATCGAACATCCGTAGATCTGTGTACATCTCAAGAGCCCTTGATGACTGCCCACATTTGAGAAACAGACGAGCTGCTTCCTTGAACTTTCCGGCGAAGGCGCAGTTCTCCGCCAGGAGCACTTCCTTGGGAACAGCTGATCTCTGCTGCTGATCTCGCAGCTCACCGATTAGTTTGAGCCACGGAAGGTTCCTTACTTTAACGTAGGCATCGCGGGCAATGTTGATATGGAGTGCCTCCAAAGCAGATTGAGCTAGTCCCTCCCAATCACTGGTGGTTACACCCAAACAGGCAACCTGGTAAGCCTCCCTGAAATAAAAGTTATAATTAATTATTGATCACCGAAATGAAAGAGAGTATAACTTACTCAAACAATCCGGCTTCGATAAACTGCCACATGGTGGAACCCAAAGCCAATGGCGTATTGTGCATAATATTTCCCCGTAAACAAAAGGCTGTGGCTCCACAAAGTCCCACCACCACGCCATGCATGTTTTGGGGTGCCCTCGGCGGGAGATTCCCAACTCTAACACTCAATCCTCCCGTAGTATGTGTATAGCAGAGCATTGAATCCAGATGAGTGTTCCATGTAACGCTGTTTACACCCGTATCTTGGTACAAAATCGTATCGTTGATTATGTCACGCACCACCAGACGACCAACATCATCCACAACGGCGATCTTGCTTCGCTTAGAATTGATATCCAGACAGCGTACTGCGGATACAGCAGTGGTTATCAGCAGGGGCAGAGAGTTGTTTAGAAAAATCCTGAAAACCTGACCATTTTTCAGGCCCACCATTAATCCTTCCCTTCCGACAGGCCCGCCGGTGACCTTGATGTATCGTATAAACGAGTCCATGATCCACTCGCGCTGCAGGACACCCAGGAAATCCAAACATTGCAGGCGCTTCTCCTGGCAGAGGACTATGTGGCGCCCGCAGACCACTAGCAAACTGCAGTCGAACTTTTGCTGGATTTTCTCGCGCACTTTATAGTGCATGGGTTGATCTTCTCCAGAGCTCAACTCGTAAAGGACCACTCGCTCCGGCAGCTGAACCGCCAGTCGATTCCTATAGATGGCTATTTTCTGCACCAAGTCCCGACATTTAATCCGCACTTTTTGGCCTGAAATCAAGTGCTGAATGATCACATCGCACATATTCTCCCGAAAGGCATATCGCTCTCTGTATAAAGCGTGCACAGTGCTCGAAGCTATGTTGAAGCACGCCAATGTTCCATCCTGGCAGCCGATGGTGTAGGATTGGCCATTCGGATGCAGAGCTACTGTCCAAATCCAGGTGTCGAAGCTATCGCCCAGTGTACCCAATCGAATGCCCTCCCTGGTGAAGAAATGCAGGCCTCCGGTGCAGCCGCCAACCAAGCAGAACTCGCCGTTGGGAAAGTACTGCAGGCACAAGGGATCAAAGCCTAGGGTTCGCTCCTTGCCAATCATCTGGCCACTCAATGTGTGAAAAGACAGCGTCTGACTCCAGTCTACCACGCCAATGGTATCCACACTGCCGGGACCACTTGCCGGACAGCACTGGACACTGAAGACATTGCTGTTGGGTCCACCTGGTCGATCTATGCGGCCCTTTTCTTCGCCCAACTTGTTCCTTATGGAAATGGTGCCATTGGCCAGGCCCAGGATCAGATACTGCCCATCGTTTGTCCAGGAGCAGCCATTCACTCGGGCGGATATCTTGTACTTTTGCACTGCTTTCTGATCCGCAGACCAAAAAGCAAAATCCGACAAGGAACACGAGGCCAGGTGATGCGAGACGGGATTAAAGCTCATGCATTGAATGGAGTCGCCATGACTGCAAAATATATTGATTTAAAAATAATTTAGTTTTGTTTACTCTTAAAAAAATTGCATATGGTTGTTAATCAAAGCCATATGTACGTGTGAAAAATAAAAAACTTAAATATTTATAACTAACTAACTAACTATATTTTACAACTAATTCGTTAGGTAATTAGCTCAATAGGTTTAAATAATATAGATTTAATTTAAAACTAGATTTGTTTAAGCAAAATAGTTGGCTTTGTTTAATAGGCACTCTAGTATCTTTGATTCGAGCTTTAATTTATATATTTTCTTTCCGTGTACTTACGAATACTTAAGCAATCCTTCAAGCTGCGGTGACCACACGATGACCATTTTGTCGGAGGCTCCGCTGGCAAATCGCTTGCCATCCCTTGAGTAAGCCACACAGTTGACCGTATCCTTGTGAGCCTTCAAGGTGTTAAGCAAGGACCCATCGTTGGGATCGTAGATTAGCAGCCGGTCTCCCGCAGCCACCACCAATTGGCTGCCATCGGGAGCATAGCAAACATTGTGGACACTGGAAAAAGGGGTTTTCGATTACCGTTATGGAGCAACAGGTTGTCGCTTTTGGTAAATGAAGAAAGCTTTACCTTATCTCGTTTTCTTTGCTGTTGGGAAACTCGATGCGTTCCAGCCATTTTAAAACGCCCCTCATTATTGCACAAACCGAAAAGGTTAGTCTTGCATAGTTCGTAAAAATTCCTAAATGCAGGTGCGTTGTTTACACATAGATTCCATGGCAACCAAACCCATAACAAAAGTTCGCGTCTTGCCTAGGGATGGTACTTTGGCCAGATTTTCCGATTGTTTTGGGCATTGAATACCGGTCATAGACCGGTAGAAAAAAAAACAATCTTTAATTTAAAGCAAGCTAAATTAAACAGGCGAGAAAACTAAATACAATTTAATAAGTCCCTGGCTTTTCAACAAAAAATTTTATTTTAAATTCCTTGTTCAAAATAGTTGGCAACGCGGGAGCTCGCAGTGTGACCGGGTGAATTTCTGCCAACCAAAACAAAAGAAAATCATTTTTACATTTCAGCAACAACTGCTTGTTCTTCAGGAAGTTACGCCTATAGACGCTTGAAAATGAACAATCTGGACAGTTCATTGCAGGCGCATAATAAATTAGAGAAGGTGCAATGAGTTGTCGGCCTCAAAAACTCCTATATCAACTTTTTATATCCATAGGAAGCAAACAATTTAGCCCTTCTAAAAGATCGTGTGGATAAATATCATGATCTCTCCAACCAAATGTCCAGTATCCTTACGGTCTTTGAAAAGCGATTGGGAAACCTGGAGCAGACCATTTTGCCCGTTTACCACGAAACGGAGCAGCTCCAGAACAGGCAAAAGAGTAGGACTTGAAAACCAACCCACTGATGCCCAGTAAAACTCATGGGTCACCGCCTCATTTTTTCAGATCTGGAGGCCACTCTGAACTGCCTGGAAAGTGTGCTATCTCACTACGATGTCTCGCAGGAGGTGTGCCAGTTAATTCACCAAGGACCAGTAGAGGGAAACATCTCCGCCTTTCTGGATGCCCTGGCCAAATTGCGGGATGCAAATGATTACTTTCGACACAGCAATGACCAAAGCGTTGAGTTAGAGAATGTCACAAGTTTGTTCAATACCGGATGCGAGGGTCTCAACCAGCACTACAGTATGCTACTAAAGAAGCACAGTGCTCCGTTAAAACCGGTGGAATTGTTGGATCTTATCTACATAGAGGATGACTCCAGCGATGAGTATACGTCCTTTAGGCAGTTGTCGCAGACCACCCGTGAGGAGCTCTACACCATTTCCCACTGGCTGGAGCAAAATTTGAGGGATTACACCCACATCTACGCAACTGAACGCGGCGATGTGGTCCTTCGGTCGCTGCACCTGCTTAAGGATCACCAGAAGAGCAACAGTTGGGGTCACGAAGCACTGGTGAGTACTCGATTTACTATCAATTTTTGGCTAAGATTTTTCTCTTGTAACATTCCGCCGTAATAATTAAAAACGATTTTGATATAATTTTTCTTGTTGAAACTGGGATAAGGTAAGACCAATATGAATCATAGCAAGTATTGAAATGCATATAAGGAACTGGGTAATATAGGTAAATAAAATCTGAAAAAAATTGGTACAATTACCAACTACGATGTGTGACGACTAAGCTGTTAAACATAAAACTATTCTCATCTCTAATGTTCTCGGGTAACGGAATCCATTCGAAAAAGCTTCTCTCTTAGCAGCATTGCCGGTCAACTTCCATGTCCGCCATTTGCCATATTGAGTTAGCAAAGAACGCGTCGTTTTCTGTGACATAAAAGTTAAACCAAAAGCGGATTCGACATGGAAAATTCTCGCACACCCGCAAAAAGACCACAATAACGCTTAACCGCACTCCAACGTTGAAGGAGCGCAGGTGGAACACACTGAAGGTGAACACCACCAATGTGCGCTGCTCCACACCGATTTTCGGCAACTTCCGTTCGCCTAACCTATCCCCCATCGAGAACATGGGCACTAAGAAGAGTCCGGTATCACCCATGCGGTTTGCAAACATCAAAAAGCCGCCGATGAAGATGCATTCTCAGCATTATCAAAAAAAACACCAGCACGAGCAAAGCTATCGCACTCAGCTTAAGCCACCGGTCTTTCGTTTACCCAAACCGCAGGAGGAGATTGACGACCCAGTGTCGGAAATTAAGATCAATAGCAGTCCGGACACCTGTTCCGATGATTCGAATGTGGACACTTCGTTGACCCTGGAGTCGCGTCGCCGTTCCATAACGGCTTCTAACCATTCATACGTAGTTAACCATGCCGCTAATGTGGAACAGATTCTCGTGCACATGGGCCTGGAGAAATACGTGACCAACTTCGAGGAGGCCCACATCGATCTCGTGGAACTGGCTTCAATGAAGCGGGATGATCTCATTAAAATTGGCTTGAACACCGATGAGGACTGTTACCGCATTTTGGATGCCCTTTAAACTTTCTAAACGGATCGCTGGCAGATCCAAATCATCATAGTTGCTTAAGGTTTTAAAATGTTTTGTGAAGAGAAGCTGTGCTTATGTAATGTGGAAATTTTGTCAAATTTATTGTAAGAGACCTGGTGTCTTAAAGCAAAACTAATATATTATATAATTTTAAAATGAAATGTATTATTGTAATTAAACACACGGTCCGCATCCTAATTTTGTAATCAATTTTTTCTTATATTTAAACTAAAAACGTAAACTCTTCAAAATTTGTGTTCTTTACTCGTTAAAAATAAACAAAGAATAAAGTATATTTTAAGGACAAGCATTATTGCAATGTGTTTTTATTTTTTATTGCATCACAATACGAATCTTTTTAAGACGCTTTTATAATATTCTTGGGTTATAACTAACTATGTATATAACAGAATGTAACGGAAAGTTTTTATTTCGGTTAGCTATAGTTTAGTATTTTTAAACTATTATTTGTTACCAATATTTATTGCAGAGACCTCGTCACAGCGGACGCCAAGTGGAACCAAAAAAGACAACTTCTGCCCGCTTGCAGCAAATGTAAGATTTGAGTCTTAACACCAAAATCTTAACACAAAAATCTAATAACTCATGATCTTTAGATTCGAAAAGAAAGCCAATAAATTGTATTTACGAGCGACCCAGACCATTGAGCAGTCCACTGGCTTTTCCATAAAGAAGGCATCGTCACACAGCGACCACCTGACCTCCGAGGATCTGTTGGATGGTGATCAGGAGCTGGACAAGTACTTGGTCATGCTGCTGGGCCTCCAGAGATTGCTCAACTGGGAGCGAGCCATCATGAACGACATTATTCCACCGTCCAAACACAACGAGGTGTTTGCTAGGTTGGCTTATGGTGGAATCGACCTTGTGGTCAAGGATGCAGAGGCCATCACGCAACGCATCCTGCGTTGCATTTCCCGCAAGGAGTGGACCTCCGCCCTGGGAATATTCTCTGCCCTAAAGAGGGTGATCCTGTTGCAGCCGGACATTGATCGCACATATGATCCCGCGCAGCGTGAACAGCTCAAAAAAGTGCTCAATAAATTACAGCACACAGGAGCCAAGGCATTGGAGCACTTCCTGGATGTGGTTAAAGGCGAATCAAGCACAAACATTGTGGGGCAGAGCAATGTGCCAAAAGATGCCACCGTTCACGAGCTAACCTCCAACACGATCTGGTTTATTGAGCACTTGTACGAACACTTTGATGTGATTGGATCCATTTTGTCGCAGGATGTCCTCTACTCCACGCAATTGGACACCATTCTGATGAAGAAATCGTTGGCTGGCGAGGAACGCAATAAGGCTTTGCTAGCTATTTACATTAGTGAGTAGAAATTGAAGGATTTTGTCAGTGCATTTATAATTTCCCCTTTACTTTATTTAGAGAAAGCTTTGGCAGAGCTAAATCTTTCCATTATGAACAAGTGCGAACAGTATAATGACCAGGCCACGAAGCATCTCTTCCGTCTCAACAACATACATTATATCCTGAAGTCGCTGCAACGCTCCAATCTGATCGATTTGGTCACCCTAGCTGAACCAGAGTGCGAGCACAGCTACCTGGAAATGATTCGTGAACTGAAGGCCAGCTACCAGAAGACCTGGTCAAAAATGCTGCAGGGAATCTACTCCATGGATGAACTGCCCAAACCTGTGGCTGGCAAGGTCAAGGATAAGGATCGCAGTGTACTCAAGGAGAGATTTTCTGTAGGTCTACTATGTTTAACCCTCGATCATCTCAAACTATTTGTTTTAAAAACAAAATAGTTTAATTTTATTCCGTAATCAATATCTGTTTCAATTCAGAATTTTAACAAGGACTTCGAGGAGGCCTGCAAAATTCAGCGAGGCATTTCGATACCCGATGTTATTTTGCGTGAAGGCATCAAGCGAGATAATGTGGAGCACATATTACCCAAATACGATAGGTTCTTCAATATGTAAGCGTATGATGGTCTCTTTTAGCACACTCCTACAATTGCTAATTCATTTTCAGTTACTCTGCCGTGCAGTTCAGTAAGAATCCAGACAAGTATGTAAAGTACAGGCCGCACGAGATCAATGCTATGCTGAGCAAACTCTTCGATGACTCCGCCTAAAGAACTAGGTTCTGGGCCAGGATTTAAGTGCATTCCTTGTAAGTTCGTTGGGGGCTTTAATTCAAACTCAATAAATATCGATTTTAAAAAAAGTACAATACAAGACTATAGCCTAAAAATATTAAATGCCAAGTGAATTGAAGGCGCCACGCAAACATCCTAGTAGAGGAAGTTAGTGGATGGTGCTTCGGGGCGGCCACAGGCGCCGTAGTAGTTGACGTTGACCGTCTGGTTCGCCCTGCAGTTCTCGATCTCCAGGAAGCAGTCGTTCAAGTACGTCTTATTGTCGCTGCCGCAAACGGGCTCGAATTCCCTCGGGCAGATGCGGGCACATCCCTTCAGCTGGAAGGCGGCCAGGCAGCGCTTCAGTGGGACCACGAACACGTGCTTGCCACAGTTCTCCTTTCGCATGTGGCACTCGGACTTGTACAGGTTGTTATCCGATCCACAGACGAAGCTCGGCGGCTGGGCATCACAATCCGACTCACAGTCGGCGGTCAGGGCGCAATTCTTCAGCGAAACGGGCACCACACGTAGGTTGCAAGTGCGCCGCTTAAACTCGCACATGGAGGCGAAGGTGTTGCCGTCCGATCCGCACACCGGCTGCTGCTCCAAATCCGCGCGGGTGCAGGCATCCCCGCAGTCCTTCGTCGGCGAATTGAGATCCGTGCAGGGGCCAATGTGGGCCAGATTAACGCCGCGTCTAAAATAGGGTAAACATTTAAAGGTTTTTAAAGTTATATGCGATTTGTATTATGTTAACTCAAGAAATCTATTAAACTATGATAAAGTTAATCCACTTACAAACAGGTGGCATGGGCCAATTCACACTCATTGTTATAAGTCTTCGCATCCGTGCCGCAAAGCTTATCGTTTCGCTTTGAACTGAATATGGATCCAAACAGGCTGTTAAAGTCCTTGCAAGGAGGCAGTTGCTTGCACCGAGTTAGTCTATTCTTGCACTTGTCCATGCTCACTTTTTGAATTGATTTGCGCTGGGGTCTAAAAAAATAAACGTCTAAATATACACATTGTTTGAACCATGATTCGATTCAAACTCACCCGCAGTTGAGCATTTTGAGTTCGCAGAGCGATGAGTAAATGTTTCCATCACTTCCACACACGTACTGCGATGAAGGATCCGACTCTGCTTTAGGACACTCGGTGGGACAGGCATCGGAGGCACTTCCATGCCTCTCCTGCGGCATGCAGAAGGACAGAGGAACCTCGAAGACATGCTTTCCACAATTGGAGGAGCGCATCTTGCAGGGACTCGCATACAGACGACCATCAGAGCCGCAAGTTGGCCTGGCCACCCGCCAGCAGGACTCCCGGCACATCCTCGTGGATTGGCAGTGCTTCCTGCTCGTTTTCACCACACCTTGTCCGCATGTGTGCAGCTTCATCTCGCACGTTGAGTTGTACACATTGCCATCGGACGAGCAAACGGGTCCATCCTTCGGAGCACTGTTACAATCCACTGGGCATGATTCACGCACAGCACTTGTATTGCTGCAAGGACCCACGTGCGAGAGTTTCACGGCGGCCAAGCCCACCCGACAGGATTGCACCCTCAGCATGCAGCGATTCAGATAGGTCCTTCCGTCTGTTCCACAAACCGGATCCTTCTCCGTGCTGCAGCGGTGCTTGCAATCCGAACCCTTCGATCGCTCGCAGCCGTCGCGAACATCCTTGATCAAGGACACTCCACTGCGGGAGCAGGTCTTCTTGCGCAGCTCACACAGATTGGCGTAGATCAGACCATCGCTGCCGCACACGGGTTCGGCTCCGACGGTAATGCTCGGTGGACAGGATCGAGGGCAATTGCCGGTGGTCGCCGAGCTGGCCCGATTCCGCCTGCCCATCTGCGCCAGCTGCTGCTGCTCCGTCTCCTCGCGCAGCAGGGACTCCAGGGCAGCCGCGGCAGCGCCAGGCGCTTGCATCAACGTCGAGGACAACTCCGGCTGGGCATCCTGGCGGTAGTTGATCAGCAGTGAGTCCGGCGCCGCATCCGCACTCCGGTAGCGGATAACTGGCGCTTGTGCCGGCAGCCGGATTATTTTGATTGGGGAGTCAGTCACAGCGCCTAAAATGCAAGTTTATTTTAATAAGTTTGGATATTGAATAGTCCAAGTACAGAAGAAAATCGAATTTACATAATTACATATTTTTTAGAGTCGAAAAACCTAAGAACAAACGTTTGCAAGGAATGCAAATAACCACTGGACCAAGTTTGCATTGTCATAATAATGTAATAATAATTTAGATTTCCAACAAATTATGCAATAATGGAAATTTCCATGCTTTCAAGTTTCTGACTAAACATATATACATTTTAAAATATATCTTATTTCTGCTAATAGAATTTGTGGTACCCCAATATTATACAATTTAAATTTTCATTTTGTTTTACAAAATAAGTTAAGTTTATGAATTAATCAAGCTTTCTTAAAATATTTTTATTTTTATTTATTTTTGAATTACTAAATAAAAATTGTACCGGATTTCACATGCACCTTTCAAATTTTCTCCCCGTCCCAAGGTGTTATTAAAACTTTTCCTTGGAATTTTCCCAGGGTAAGTTATTTTCGAACCCGCTAACGAAAAACTTTCCCTTTGCATTTTCTTTTAGCTCTTGGCGGCATGCGGAAGAGTCGGTTCTCGGCATACAAATGTCAGATTAGCCGCACGATCATAGGGCATTTTGCGCAGTTGTGACCCACTGTTTGGTTCACCTCCAGGCCGGCCAGACCCTCCTCCTCGATCCCCAGCTCCCCCGTCGTCGTCCAGGTTCTGGAGTGATCGCATGACCGACTCAAGTAACCAGCCATTAACTTGAATAATTCGGAAGGTTATAGTTCTTGTAGGGAGCGGGGGCGAAACGGGGAGGGGAGTTCCCTTTGCTAACGGTAACGGCAAATGTTACCCGTCTTCAGATCTCGATTCCGAGTAAAGCGACACAATGGCATTTATGTTTGACCGGGGATTTGAGCACAAGTCTTATTATACATACTATCAACGACCTCCATCTATAATTGTTCATGCTAATCCCCTCCAGAAATCGTAAGCTTAATCTGTGCTAAAAACTGCAAGTGAAATTTCCACACTAATTGCCTCCGGCGATGAACGAACAATTTCGTTGCTGTCTTTGGTCGGATGTGGTCCGTTTTTGGTTCGGTTCGGCTGAGTTTGCTCAGATTTGTTTGCAAAGAAAGCTGTGAGAGCCGCCTCCGGAGGAAGCACTCAGCTCAGATATATACTCACATACCCACCAGCTGTAGGAAATCTATTAGCGCTCTTTGAGGCTGCCACGATTGTTTGGCTGCGATAATTGAACCCACGTTCATTATTCCAATTTGTTGCTGCCGGCCATAAAGATGGAAATTTCAACATCCATCCATCCATCCAGCCAGCCAGCCGGCCGTCCAAGCAGACAGACGCATTCCCAGCTTAATGGACTCAAGCTCAGACTCCGGCTGGATGCGAGTCCGAATCTGAATCGGAGCCATTAAGCTCGGAGAAAATTAAGCGGCGTTAGGAATTAATGCACATGTAAACGATCCGCTGGAATGGTCAGAAGCAAAAGCCGAGACCGCGACCGCAGCCTATCTCATTCAGCAGTGCAACTATGCGACCCCAACCGCCCCACCCACTCTTGCAATTAATGCACATGGAGAAAATATTCATTGGCATTTAATTACAATGTATTTTGAAATGTTTACCAAAATATCTTCAAAACGTTTGGTGAATAATGATGATAACGAAGGATCCTTCTCTACTATTGTCCTTTAGGATAATAATCATATGATTAAAGAAAAAGATCTGCATTTTTTATCAAAGTGAAATGACCACATTTTCCTCAAAGTGCATGTGCATTTTCCTGGCCTCCAGCGAGTTGCTGCCAGGCTCCTGCCTATCGGATGCCATCAATTGCAAAAAAAAAGGCGAGAGAAATAATAAAAGCAGCCACCGTATAATTTTCAAAAGTGGAAAAATCCAGCAACCAACGCACTGCATTGCTGGTCAGGGACTTTTGCATGATATATACAGATGTGTGTACATAAAATATATACACAAATAGAGTGTGTGCCCCCGGTTCACTCTGGTTTGGTGTGGCACAGTGGAAAGCAGTGGCAAGACCAAGCCCAAAGATGAATCACGGCGCCACTGATTGGGCCCATTAAATGTATATGTGAGATCACAGCGTCCAACAACTAATTGATCTTTCACCCATCAATCGCCGATGAAGTGCTGTTATCAATTAACCAAATGATCGCGCTTACAAGTAAAACAAATCACTTCGCTCCGGGTCAACTTTAAACGAGGAATTCCCCCCCATTGAACCCCCCTTTTTCGATTTTCACGATTCCAAGCTCGTTTCCACTGTGCGGTCAGTTTGATTTCCCCATGAACTATAGGCCCCCCCTTACAGGGCCCCTAGCTTCTGGATCTCCCCTTCGTGCTTTTAATGAATTTATTTGAATGTTGGACAAATTGTGCACGAAAATATTTACGAGCATGTTGTGCGTCGCGCGGAGTGATGGCATTAAATGGGGAGTTTGGGGTCTGGGGGTCTCTGGGTGAGACTCTCGTGTGTGCCAGTTTACATTCACTTTGTGCGGAGTAGTACCTTAGAAATTAATAGCGCTGCGACGGCCTTTCTACCGCCGCACAGCTGTAGGTCTTAGATCCGGACCACGATTCACCTTCTCCGTTTCAACACCCGGAGAAATTAGGCGGTAATTGAGACCGCACTCCGCTGTCTAGTTGGCCTACAACTTTCCTTAAACTTTAGATCAGTTGCCGTTTTGCACTTGAGAACGCAAAAGAACCTTAAAGCACAGATTAAAAAATCTGCTCTAAGTCCAACTACATATCAAGGTTCAAGTAAAGGATTATGGATAATATTTGGTTATAGAACATTTAAGTTAAAAGTATTTTAGATCTAAAACTTTATATTAGGAATGATAAAAAACACCTGACCCCAAAAAAACTTTTAATAAACTTTTTGGATAAAGATATCTATTGTTCTCTAATACAGTACAATGTATATAACTTCCCCTCGTATTTTTTAACGGATTTCCTTGTTGCTTACTCTAGTTTCTCTAAGTGCATTGCTCGTATGACTTACCATTGGCGGTTGACGCTAATGCCGCCAACATGAACACGGCCAGCAGTGCGCCAAACAGCTGTCGACTGGGACTGCGGTCGTGCATGTGGTCGGGACTTGGGCCGCAGCTCTTGATCTGGCTTTCGGTCTGGCTAAATCTGTGGGTCTCGCTGTGGGCCACCTCCATTTGGGTTTTGGCTTTTACGGCGGGGGGATGGAAGTCGAAATGGAGATGCTGTTTCTGCTGCTGCGACTGGTACATTTTCGCTGTCTGCTGCACTTTTCCTTCTATTTGTTGTTGTATTTAGTAGTTTATTTAGTTGTTTTTGTTGTGCGTGACGGGCGGCGCTTTCGCTCGTTAACAATTGAAATTGAAATAGTAGCAAACTTTTATGCGTCTGGAAGTTCACTGGTTATGTGTGAAGAAAGTTTTTTTCTCTCTTTTCTTCTTTTTCTCTGTATTAGGTCTATATAAATGCTCGTAATACCGCTGAAGCTGTTCGAATTAACGGTATTCTTGCGGTCATTTGGGCTTGGCCTGCTCTTCTTCTTCTTGCTTCCTCGTATTGCCCTCTCTTTTGCCCTTTTATGAGTTCATTCGTTCGCCTATTAACATTAAACTTGCATCTATCTCTTTTTGTCTCTTGCCGCCGGGCACTTGACCTCTCACACAATCGCACAATGGAGCATAATTTCTTTTTTATCGCCTCGGCTTAATTCTTTTTTATTTTTGCACGGCCCGCCTTTAATTTGATTTCAATTACGTTCTGCCAGGGGTTTTCTTTTGTAATTTTTTTTTATTTCGTATTATGCACACAAGACAATTCGTTTTTGTTCGTTACTCTTTCGCCGTTTGAATTTGGCTTTGATGCGCGCTCTTCGAGTTTCGATTCGCATATGAAAAATGATCTCTTTTGGAATCGGATGCTGCTACTGTTTCTGCCACTGCCTCTGCCTCGGCCGACGTCTCTGCTGACGTTTACTGCGACGCCGACTGCATCTGCGACTGCATTTTGTGTTTTATTTATTGTTATTCTTGCGCGCTTTGAACGAATGAATGGACACCAACACACACGCGCTTGCATCCGATTTGTACAATTTGTATTGTCTTCTTCGTTTTTTATTTTCTTTTTTTTTGTTTATTTTCCTCTCGCTTTTTTGTTAGGCCTTTGTAGTGTCGTCGCTCAGAAATCTCGGAAAGCTTAGCTCCAACTGCGTCTGAAAGGTTTGACAATGCGCCGACGAATGGCAAAAAATTTGCAATGAAAAGAAATTTATATGGGTGAAAGGCAGCGCAGTCGACGCTGGCAGAGCAGAGCATCCAACGTCGGACTGCGCTCTTACATGCTGTTGTTGTTGCTGCTACACTCGAAATGATTTCAAATCGTTTTAAACTTATAAAAATAAATGTGGCGAAAAATACTCTCATAAAGAATCTCTTTACTTTAGAATGGTTTAATTCGATCAAACTGTAACGCTTCCATATTGAAACTATAAAGCTCTGGGCCATTAATAAAATTATTTAAAAAAATATTAAAACATAATTAAAATAACATAATTACAATACATAAAAATTTGACTTACAAAAAGTGGAAGTTTATAAGCAAATGTAGTACTTTGGAAATTAGAACCTCATAATAATTATGGTCTATATCTTAGTCTATTCTTAAGGTAAAAAGCTTTCCTTTTTATGCGTTTTTCCCCACTTTTCAATGTCAACACTTTTCAAAGTGCATTTCTGCCTGCCTGGGCATATTGATTAAATGGAGTTGTCGGTATTTAAAATAACAACTTGGTCATGTCTGCTGGCCTAATCGGTTTTGCGTACAAATTTAATTTGCCAAAAGTGGCAGCAAAATTCAACCAATAAGGCGCGCCGCATTTGAAATTATAACGCACATACACGATCTCCGATCCGATCAGATCCATCCGTGCCTCTCCTGCAGTTTCAGTGGTTGCGGCAGTGGCAGTTTGCATTGAAGTTGCAGTAGAAAGTGCAGCCTGGAAGCTGTGTTTATAGACTTGTAGACTTTAAAGCCATAAATTTTACGCCTCAGCGGCTGTTGCGAATAAGGGTCACACACACACAACCTCAAAGATCACACACATAGTCCACTCTCACGGAGCACAGTGTCCGTGGTGATTTTTGGTGATTTACCAATGATTAATTCGTTGAAATCAATATTTTTATGAACACTTTTACCCTCTCCTATGATATTATCAATCATTTAGAAACGTTTTTAATCAAATATTTACTTAAATCACTCATTTGCAAGATTGAATAATAAATATACCTGGTTATTTCCTTTACATTGAATTTTAGTTTTAAAAGAGTAACATTGTATTTTCTTTTTTTTTTCAAAACCTAATCAATAAATCATTTTACAGGTATTGAACATTTTATTTATGTATTGACTTGGTTAACCTGGGACTAAAAACAATGCAATTTTTGAGTACTTCTGTGGTGTGAAAAATATTCTTTGATGTAATTGCGATTTCCTTCCGCAACCAACAGCAATAAATCATAATTCATCATAAAATCGAACCACTGTGCTCGGGAGGGGTGGAGGACAATGGTGCAGCAGATCATTGGCGGCAGAGTCGCGTGCATAAAGAAAATTGAGTGGAGGTGGAAGTTGCCGCCGAGAAAGAGGTCAGTAAGTGAATGTTTACAGTTAGCTTTTTGGGCAGATCAGAGAGAGCCAAACGCCGAGCTGAACAAAAAAGCCAAACTGCATATGACAGGCGTGACTCGGCTTTAAGCGCCAGCTCCCAGAACTAATACCCCAAACACGACAAAAAAAAATCAAGACCCAACCAAAAAATAAGAAACTAAAAACAGAAAACCAAAATTTAATTAAAAGAAAGCCAGGCCGCCGGAGACGTAAAAACCTTTTGGCAGCCGTGCAGTTTCTTTTTGGCCAAATATTTGACGGCACTCGCCTGCGGTTGCCAATAAAAATGGAAAGTGAAAATTGCGGCTGCAGTGGAAGTGCATATTAAAAAAAAAACAACGGAAAAAAGTAGAAACAACCGTGTGCGAAAAGATGGCCATGATGAACGATAGAAGGCAAGAGCCACGCACCTGTTCTGCGGGTTTTCTTTCCATCTAATCACAGCCTTAGCCTTGCCGAGCAAACCAGTGTGAGTATTATATAAATGCGGGGCTGTGGATCGAAATCGAGAAATAAATGGCGGAAATTATATGGCCGGGGGAGAGTTCTCGCCTTTGCCGGGAAAATAATCTCTAACGAATGGAAACGCTTACTCCGTACCAATTTACGGCTGCAAAACAAGTCCTATTATTTTAGGCTACAGCTAAATTGACAACAGTTCCTTTATGTCAAATATATTGGGTCTAATAAATGACAAACAACCTATTTTCCATTTTTACTTATTTATGGCATTAAGCTAAAATAAAATTGAATAGACATCATGGATAGTTGTGCGTTAACCTTTATTGTTTGCTTTAAGTTTTATTTTGGTAAACTGGATGCTTAAAATGTAATTATCTTTTATTTAACGTAGCATTAAACAAATTTTTGTTTTAGGTTAACAATAAACAGTAAATGTATTAAAGTTGTATTCTTATTGAAAGCTTTTCAAAACTTGGTTTAAACCACGTTTATAACGTATTTTTCACAAGGGTCAACAGTGACGTCACATGGAAATGCAGCCCTGAATCAGTGTGCCCATCACTACACCATTCGCTGGTATTTACTGGCGTGGCAGCCGCGGTCACACCTTCATCGCTCATTGAAAAAGTCGAAAATATTGTGTGGGTTAAAAAACGCAAACGTCGCCGAAACGAATAGCCCCAAATGCACACGCCTAGTGCAGAGTTACAGATACAGCCTGACCCCACGATTTCACGCGTTGAAGATCGGGGCAAAATCGGATAGACTAAAATATTGCAGGGATAGCTAATAGGGAAAATCGCATACAAATCACCACTACAACTACGCAGAGGCAGCAGCAGCAACAACAACAACAGTGAGGGAAAGAAGAAGCAGTAGAGGAAGCAGCGGCAGCGCAGCGGCAGAGAGAAAAGATGGCGACGAGAGGCAGTGGAACCCGTGTGCAATCGCAGCCAAAGATTTTCCCATCGCTGTTTTCCAAGCTCCACGAAGCCATCTCGGAAGCTTGTGTCTCCCAGCGCCTGTCCACCGATAAGAAAACGCTCGAGAAGACCTGGAAACTGATGGACAAGGTGGTCAAACTATGCCAACAGCCGAAGATGAACCTTAAGAACAGTCCCCCCTTCATATTGGACATCCTGCCGGATACGTATCAGCGATTGCGGCTGATCTACTCGAAAAACGAGGACCAGATGCACCTGCTTCATGCCAACGAGCACTTTAACGTGTTCATTAACAACCTGATGCGAAAGTGCAAGCAGGCCATCAAATTGTTCAAGGAGGGCAAGGAGAAGATGTTCGACGAGAACTCACACTACCGCCGGAATCTCACCAAGCTGAGTTTGGTTTTCTCGCACATGCTCAGCGAACTGAAGGCCATCTTCCCCAATGGTGTCTTCGCCGGGGATCAATTCCGGATTACCAAAGCGGATGCGGCAGACTTCTGGAAGAGTAACTTCGGTAACAGGTGAGTTGAGTGCCAGAAGGAGGAAATGGTTGTGCAGTGATGTTGTCTGTGTAGATCTATACAAAATCCTATTGGCCTTTAAGGTCGCAAAAGAATTCAGATTAAAGTCTCCACAGGATGTAGACAAAAGAACAAAAGAATTATCATTACGTGGAATACATAAACTTATTTATGTGACTAAACTCAAAAATAATGGCTCTCCTATAACAAAATATTATAAAGAACCCATTTTATTTTAGATATACTTTTTAACACTAAGACCATATCTGGATTAAACCAGTTTCAAGTAGTTAACTATGGTGACTTTAAAACTCACAGGTGAAATGTTATAAGAATAGTCGATTATTAAGATTTAAGATCCAATAAGTGAGATACTTTTATGAGTGCATTGAAATGTTTTTTTAAATTCAATCTACAACTACTTACAATTTCGTTTTTGTCATTGCAGCACATTGGTTCCCTGGAAAATCTTTCGACAGGAGCTCAATAAAGTACATCCCATAATCTCCGGCTTGGAGGCCATGGCCCTTAAGACCACCATTGATCTGACCTGCAACGACTTCATCTCGAATTTTGAATTCGACGTGTTCACACGCCTTTTTCAGCCGTGGGTGACGTTGCTCCGCAATTGGCAAATCCTGGCCGTCACACATCCGGGCTACGTGGCCTTCCTCACCTACGACGAGGTGAAGGCGCGACTACAGCGCTACATTCTTAAGGCGGGCAGCTATGTCTTCCGGCTCTCCTGCACGCGGTTGGGTCAGTGGGCCATCGGATACGTGACCGCGGAGGGCGAGATACTGCAGACCATCCCGCAAAACAAATCGCTGTGTCAGGCGCTGCTTGATGGCCATCGGTGAGAGATAGTAGATTATTAATAGAAATTGGAAGAATTGGTGGTCTTCACATCCACTCTTTGAATTTGCTTAGGATATCAACACTCCCATTTCTTGTTTATTAATAAATATATTATTTTCGATTTTCAGCGAGGGCTTTTACTTGTATCCAGATGGCCAAGCCTACAATCCGGATCTGTCTTCTGCCGTTCAAAGTCCCACTGAGGACCACATAACCGTAACTCAAGAGCAATACGAACTATACTGTGAAATGGGTGAGTTTTAGTCGGATTACGGCCCCGTCTTAAACCTTTTACTAAATGTTTTTTTTTATGAAACGCAGGAAGCACGTTTCAGCTGTGCAAAATCTGTGCGGAGAACGACAAGGACATCCGCATAGAGCCCTGCGGGCACTTGTTGTGCACGCCGTGCCTTACCTCCTGGCAAGTGGATTCCGAGGGACAGGTGAGCAAAGTTAGTTTATAAATAAAGACGCACTTAACTTGTCGTTTTTGTTACAGGGCTGTCCCTTCTGTCGGGCCGAGATTAAGGGCACCGAACAAATTGTTGTGGACGCCTTCGATCCACGCAAGCAACACAACCGAAATGTCACCAATGGGCGACAGCAGCAGCAGGACGACGATGACACTGAGGTATAGTTTTGTTCACAGCCTGATCAGCCTGATCCGCCTGCTCCGCTGCCGCCTGTGCTGCTATTTATATACATATTACTCTTATGATTACCTTTGGTTCGTTTATACAGTTATATATGCCTATATATACATTATATACCTTAGATTTTACAACTGCTATTTTGTTTATATAAGTTTAATGTTTAGCCTGCAGTTTGCAGTTGCAGTTTCGAGTTTAATTTTGTTTGTTTAGCTGTAACATATTTAAATTATTAGCCAAACTCATGCAACTAACACTCATAGACCCACGCACACACGCTCAGCCACAACCACAACCATTGTCCATCGCGCACATGCATAACGTAGTTAAAGTTCTTTGACCGGAAGTCGCTCATCAACCATCGTTTGTTATCGCTTCCTCTGTTTTCTCTTTGCTGGTTTGGTTTGTGTGCGTTCGTTTAGTTGTTCGTTCTTCCTCTCTCATTGATCACGTTCGCCTCTGTTTATGAATCATATTAATCGATTCGATTCGCTCTCGATTGCACTTTTGTACATAGGCACTATGGAATTTATAATTGTAACCTGTTCTGTATTATTTTGTTATTTTCTCTTCCGTATTGAGCTTACTTATCTCTCTATCCGTAAACGATAGTATTTTTTGTATCTATCCCTAACTCTAGAATCATTGTCTTATCCATTTTACCCCGTTATGTGTTTATTTCATTTTAGTTTATTGTTTAATACTTCCAAAGATACATTTAGTTTGTAGTAGCGTGCGTTCATTTCCCCCCATCAATTCAATTTTATTTGTAAGCAGCCACTGCGCTGCCCTAAGACTGTAATTTATTATTAACAAAAAAAAAAAAAGAAATGAAAATAAGATAGCAGGCTAAACCACAGGGGAGGCCTCGTCGACCGATCGACAATTTAGTTAGAACATATGTAAATGAAATCCTTATTTCCTGTGTCACAAGGCCAGAATTTATAGCGCTCGTTGCTATTAAAAATACGAACGAAAAGTATTAGCAGAGAAATTTTAAAATCGAACTCATCTTTCGGCTCATTTCGTTAACTTAATATAACACTAAACAAATCGCATTAATGTTACACGATAGAAATTATTTATATAATACATCTAATGCAATTTTTATACATTAGCGTTTAGTTCTTGATTTCCTTAATAAGTTACGGCTAAAAAAAATCACACGACCAAAAAAAAACCGAAACAAAACAAAATATATGCATAATACGAATATTTAAATATTGGTTTGAATTGATTTTTATGTTTCCTTATTTATTTAGCTGTGTTTCTACTAGAGACCTCTTATTTTCTTCAGATTTTCTGTTTGATGTGCATGCCCATTTCCTCCAGCCAGCGGCATGCTCTATGATCGGCAACCATTTGCTTAAAAGGTTCTACATTGTTCAGTTGGATCCTTTGTCATGGAATTAAGATCAAAAGCTTCAATTTTTTATTCGGGAATTTAATATACCTACAGTTATATTTACATTTGTTATATGTTTTTCAATCTCTTAGTTGAAATATTTTTAAAATTTGGCAATCTGTCAGTTTAAATGTTTTTAACGATTCCATGCCTGGTCCTCACTGAACTGTAAGGAGACCTTTAATCTGATTTCTGTTCTGGATATGTTTAGGACATGGGCGACTTCAACATAGCCACCTCATCGCTGCACGCACTTAGCACATCCACGACGGTTGCCTCTGAGAAGCACAGTCCGCACACATCGCCTCGCTTGGGGCGACGGAGCACCACGCCCAGTTTGATGGCCGTGCAGAATGATCTCTATGCGGGCGGAACGCCCACCCTGAGCCTGCCCAGCAGCTCCTGCTCCTCCATCGCGGCCGCCTCCACATCCTCCTCCTCATCTTCGGCATCAGTTGCAACGGTGGCAGCATCATTGTCATCGGCCTCCTCCTCCCAGCACCAGCAACCCCAACCTTCGGCTCCTCCGGCTTCAGCAGTCCTCAGCAATGGAGGAGGGGTGATAACATCCAACCAGAAGACCACGAACCGAATGAGTGCTCCGCTAATCGGATCCTGTGTGGCCAACTCAACGTATGGACAGAAATTGCCGCAGAACTCGGTGAACAACAGCAGCACCAGCAGCGACAACGCCTCCAGCTCAAGTTCGTATGCCATCTTGCAGAATCTCCACGATCCGGGAACCCCTGCAACAGGAGCAGCCTCAGTGGTGGTAGCTCCTCCACTGCCGCCCAGGAAATCCTCACCGGGCGTGGAAACGCCGAGCAAGGCGACGGCACCACCGCCGCCCAGCAGCAGCAAGAGCATCGACAACATCCAGTGCAGTTTGGACAATGTGCCGCCCCAGACGACGGCGCCGCCGATTCCGCCACACGTTTCGCCCAGCGTGGACACCCTGGCCGAGGATCTGATGCGACAGCAGCGCATAGCAACGAGTACCACGTCGCCAGTGCTCTCGCTACTGGACGAGGACATCGTGGAGGTGGGTCCGGCGGAAACCATAAGCGGGGTGATCGATACTCGTCCGCTGGAGGCGCGTGGCGTTACCCTGACCCGGCAGGATTCGGCCTCCTCTCATTACACACAGCTCTGCACCACCAGCAGTGGTGGCGGTGGAGGATCCGCTGCAGCGCTGGCCAATGGAAAGAAGCCCACGCCGGTCAAACAGGGCCAGACCACAATGACGACAACAACAACGGCGGCGGCGGTGGCCGGAAATGGGAGTAATCCCAGCCAGCCATCGCAACCGTTGCTCTATGCGAACGTGACGATCAATCAAAAAGACTGCGGCACCGTGCCCTACGAAAACATTAACCTGGAGTACATTGCCCGGCTGATGAATGCCGGCTATTCAAAGGAGAACGCGATCACCGCCCTGGGAATCTCGCGGAACAACATCGAGATGGCCGGCGACATCCTGCGCGAGTTTGTCTCCAAGAACAGCGCCTGAAGTACCACGCCGGCGGATTGTTAAATCGGATGTTAGTGCTTAACCCAAAGCTTAAGAAATCTATCAGCAGTCGAACTTCTTTAACTAAAATCTATATTTAAATATTTATTGCACTTTTAAATAGATTGTTATATTTTTTCAAATCGAAATTGTTTGCTATTAGGTCATGTATTTTATTTTAGAGCTAAAATATTTAATTTGTGTGAACAAGATTAGTTGTACAAAATATTCAAATCTATAATTTTATATAAAGTTCAAAATGCTTTGCGGTTTATTTATAATATTCGAATTAAGAAATTTATAAATAATTGATTCTGCTCACAAAAACACATTTAAAAATTAACTTATTAACGTTTATTTGTACTTTACATTGTATATAGGAAGTAGAAGCCTAGAAATTGTATGATTTAAGTTTAGAATGCCCCAGGAAGCTTAGTCGTAAAACGCTAGTTCCACTCAAATTTGACAAAGATATACAAAAAAAAAACCAAGTTAGAGAAGGTCGACTGTAATCGAAAAACGAAATTCCCATTAGTCTCACAAATCATGGTAAATATCTTCGATTTAGGAGCACCAAACCCACACACCTGTCCCATAGTTACGCTAAGTTAGCAGATCCCAGAAGATTAAAACCCTAAAATTCTACACTTGGCGTAGCCAGCACAAGCAATTAAAGTTTCCCCGTTCAAAAATTAATTGAGAAAAAAAAACAAAACGAAAAATATTGCTAAAAGGCGAACAAAAAATTAAGCACAACCCTTGGATATCAAATATAGCTATGTACACTTAAATTAAGACTATCTAACTTCTTCCTATTAAGAGCAAACAAATATATAAGAAATTATAGCTCGTATATACGCAGTTCTGGAATGAAAAACTTGCCCACCCCAAACAAACGAAAAGTATATTCAAATTTTCTCTCTCTCTCGTATAGAATAACGATTCAGAAAAAAAAAAACAAGAAAAGACAAGGTCAGATCTAGTCTATATATTGTAACTCAACTAGGTCGATGCTTTCTTTCACTATCACCTTCATCAGACCATTTATAAGTAGTCCATCGTTTCACAAAAAATACAAATTGCAAAACATTTGAATTGGGTGCATCATCGTAGAAGGTCAGAATCGAACACAGCCATTAATAAAATGCCTTCGGCGGCAAATGCCCCCCAAACACAGAACTCTGAGTTTCCCCTTAACACCAAATGCAAAATGCAAGCAAGGATTACCCAAGTAAAGGACGCCACACCCAACAGATCCGATGCACTATCAAGTTTACCTCGATTTTTTATACAAAGCTCGAACGTTTTTGTATTAGTATTTGTAAGTTCGAATCGAATCAATTAATCTCCGCGAACAAAAAGATAAACGACGAAATAAGCATAATTCAATTTGTATTACGGATCCCTTTTTACTGGCTTTATATATGATAATCGATCGAGCGGTTTTTAATTCGTCAACAAAAATTTTCTAGTCCCATACCAAAACACAATTTTTGCCATACTCGTATATCTACTTAACCTAAGCGATATATATTTAATAAATAGGCAATATATTTAACGTGCGTCAAACCAAAAATCGAATCGAAGAAATCAATGCAATATATTCACTAAACGAGAAATCAATGCAAAGTTAAATCATAAGTTAATTGACATAACCTCAGCAAATACGAGTATAGTATATTAACAAACAAACGAAAGAATCTTGAATTTTAAGCAGCGTAAGAACAAGCAAATTGCTAACCTCCAGCACAGAAAGCCCAACAACCGGATGAAAAAGTCAATAAACTGTCAAGTTTTAAGAAGCGTACGAGATTCTAAGCGAAGCAAAGGAGAAATGATGATACCATACCATAGTCATGTCATGTAATCGAAGAAATCTAAGCAGATATAAATTATTCTTATAAATAAAAACAAAAATAAGTAGTGTTTTAATTCCAAAGATGTGGAAAAGTAAGTATCTAAATGATCCTGGAAAAAGGCCAGTTCCAAAACATACTTCTCAAAACAGCTGGGCTAAATAAAACATGAGATTTTAGTTTATTGAAATATGTATTTATTATTTATTCTGTTGTTGTTGTATTATTTGACTTATATAGTTTGCGATTTTTTTTTCATATTCAAGCACATATGTATGTATGTATTTTTCTTGTATTTTTTGTATCTTTTTTGATGTTTTTGTTACATTTTGGAGCTTTTTGCGATTTTTTTGTGTATTATTTGAAATGTTTTTATGTTGTTTTTGTTGGTTTTTCGTAATAAGGATTTTAGTTACTGTGCTGTTCATTTCTTGCATTGCATAAATGACAAAACGCCCGGCCGCCGGCCGCTCTGAAAATGTTTTGGGCTGCGATGGCGTTTGGCATTTCTGTCGACTATCTCATCAACCTCAGTTACCCCACCCGCCCTGCAGGATTTATCCCTCGGGATATATAGCCCGCATAAATCTATATGTATGTAGATGTATAATCGTTATACAATATTAAAGTTACTATTTTTTTACTTGCTCTTTGTTCTGGTTTTTGTCTGTGAGTGTCTGTGTTGCTTAGTGTAAGTTCTTGTTGTTGTGGTTGTTTTGCTGTTGTAGTTGTATATAACATGGCTATAATAGGACGTACTGATCCCAAATTTGTTGTTAGCTTGTTAAATTTTTTTTGTGTTTTTTCTTGTTACATTAGTTTTTTTTTTTTGTTTCTTTAGTAATTGAAATTCATAATTTTCACAATATTTGCTCTTTGTTACCGACACACGACACGCTCATAAGGTTTGGTTTTTTGTTTTTATTTTTTTTTTTTTTTAACTTTTTCTCGTATATATAGATTTTTTAAAAATTATTTTTATAATCTTCATTAAATGGTTTCAACAGATTTGGCGCAGCAAATTTAATTTGCCCTTCATCGTCACACAAAACTTTTCGTAATTTCCTTTTCTCCTCGATATTTTTTTGAGTTTTCTCAATGCGTTTTGTTGTTGTTTCAAATAAATATTTACGATGTAGCATGTATGTTTTTGTATAATATGTTATGTAATAAGTTAATGCAACCGTCTGAATGCAACAAAAGAATTGGCGAAACAACTTGGCGTGTGTTCACAAGCGAAGATCGAATAATCAAGGAAATAATAACATTAATATTAGGTATGTTTACGTTAATGAATATGTAAAATATATATGTACTTGTAGATATAAATACTCTCTTCATGCTTCACTCCATTGATTGGTTTCTGGTTTGATGTCGCTGCCGCGGTTGCTGTTCTACATAACTGTTGCTGCAGCAGTACAATAATTATTCAATAAATATAAGTCGTTAACAGTAAGATTGAAAGCAGTGAAAGAACAGTTTTCGAGAAGTACAAAAGAATACGAGTAGAGCAAGATACAGTAGAAGCAGGAACTATCCCAGACATAGATAAATGTATTTAGAGAGTGTTGCTTTTATACAATTTCTAATGCAATTATGCAAGGATTTCGTTGCCATTCTAGATTAAATACTTCATAGATTATGTTGCTTGTTTCCTTCTTCTCACTTTGTTTTGTTTTCGCAATGGTTTTTAATTAGTTAAAATTAAAGCAAACTAGTAGAAAATAGTATACGTATACAAACGTTTTGGTTTCATCTCTCAGACACTTGGATTTCAATTTCATTTTGCTTCAGCCGGCCACAACACGGTTACAGTTGCGACTAGTTGAAGACAAAGCGTTACAATGGTGGAGGGGTTAGTTGGTAATATTACAAATAAGTTTCGATTTCAGACACGAAAAGTTCTCTTGTTGAGTTGCCGTTAAGTAGTTTCGTAAATATTAAATGTATGCCTTTGCTATCAATTATTATCAATTACAATCGTTTCCAATAGTGTTTGCTTGGTTCTAGGGATTATATTCGTTATAAATTTGCGTGTGTATGGTTAGGGCGACAAGTTCACGTTGCTGTTAGTTGGTTGATTGGTAGCCTGCTCGCTTATGGCTTGCGTACAAGAATATATATAGCTGTAGGTAGTTGTCTTTGATGTGCATCTATTATCCTTTCTTGCTAATGCAACATTTCAGCAATCTACTCCACCAAATTGCCTAAAAAATAAATTTGAATAGGTTAAAACCATCTACAAAATTACTATAAACCTGTTCTTACCTGGAATGCGTGGATGACGGGCTAGAACAGAGAAGCCCTTGCCTTGCGGTCCCTTTGGTGCGCGAATGAGTATTAGGCGCGGCACAGTATCATCGCCATTGAGCTTTAGGCGCGAGATCAGACGATCGGGACGATCGTTTATTTTCAGAACATTGCAAGCCGATGACTTTCCATTACGCTGATAATTTGAAACATACAACCAGTTAGTTTAAAACTAATACAAGTTTTAATAAGCGTCTACCCACCTGATTGGTGACCACGGAGAATTCCACAGTATCGCCTGGATGCAAGGCGACGGTATTGCCCTGCACCTCGGACATGTGGAAGAACAGCTTCTTGCCATCTTCCACCTCAAAGTTAAGGAAACCAAACTGCCCCTTGATGGAGTCCACAGTGGCGCGTTTCTTCTGCCTCACGGCATTCACGCAGGCTGCCCGCCCGCTCTCATCGATGCGGAAGCTAACCAGATCACCCTTCTGGAGCAGATCCCTCTTGTTGACCAGACTAGTGATTCCGAACTCGTGTTGCGAAATGACAGTGGTGCGTGACTCGTCTAGAATCTCAATGAGACCGGCGTATTCCTGCTGGTCAGGATTGATGCAGCGCAGCGGACGAGCCACCACGCCGTTGTGCGTGGTTTCCAGCACTGCGGGCTGGGGAATAGAGTTCTTGGGCAACATGCGGACATTCTCCGCCGGCAGGCAGTTTCCGGAAACAGATGTATTCCCATTGCGAGCTAGAGTGTACTCCACTTCCTGACCCAACTCCAACCAATTGGGATTGCCCTGATAGTTACTGAAGTGAAAGAAGACCTCCTCGTCGTGGGACAGAGTCTCAATGAATCCAAAATTCTCCTTCATCACGGCTATGAAGCCACGGTAAACCTGACCGGCCTCGGATCCGGCATGGTTATTGTTCTCCAGCTTGAAGTCGTCCAAGTGGCCCTGATTGTTGCTTCCCACGCTGCTGGTGCTGCCACCGGGGCTACCGTGCATCACATAGCCATTCTGCAGCGAAGCGTTCGAGCTGCTGCTACTGATTCCATTCGACAATCCCGACAACTGGTCGTTCTGGTTA